CAGTTTACACATAACTATAGTACAATCCACGAATTTTGCTTACAGGAAGAAATATGTTCATGGACTGCTTAGACAGATTTGCTAAAAAGTTGAAACAAGGGGACAAAAAATAAAACAAAGGAGAGCAAGTACGATGCGCATAGATAATATTAGTCAAGACCACACTATTTCATAACAAAAATTGTAATTTTCTGAAAAGGTTAGAGAATCATAAGCAACTCTTCTGAGCAGGAACCCACTAACAAAGAACACAAATCATCCCGTTCACCCTCTACAGACCGAAAAGTGTCTCAAAGTTTGCTGCAATATAGGAAAATCCACATCTCGTATGAGATATTCAAGAAAGCACCTTATGGGTAAACCAATTCTTATTTAGTGCACAAATATATCATGAGATATGAGTTTCACTTGCACTAAGTACTACGCACCTTGAGGGAAGGATGAATATCAGAATTATCTCTTGACAAAAACCTAAAGCAGCAATACTCAACCAAATTGCGGGCATCATTATACGTAGACTCAGAAACCAGTGCTTTAAATATTCTCTGCATTTTCTGCCCAGTCAATCCATTCATCCTGCAGAGCTTAACTTCAAAGAGTCAAATGATAATTCTTATGTCAGTTTGATAAGAATATAAAACCAAGGAAGCTCTTGCATAGTAATGAAAATTCCAAACAAATGGAATGTTATCCAGCTGCACGTTAAAAACCTACCTCATTCAGGGCAATATGTGAATAAACCCTATTAGAGTAAATAGAGGCAGGAAAATTGAAAGTACAACTGTGGCTGGCACATATACAAAGTAGAGGCCAGTTTAATGAAGTTTTATGGCTTGATGATGCATTCCAATAGGATATTTCTTGTTCCTTTTTAATTATCTATTCCTTTTCTTGAATTAAAAAAATTCATAATGTGGACAGAAAAAGTTAGTGGTAATATCAAAATAGTTCATCTCAAAGGATAAAATTCATATTGCAACAAGTCACATGGGACAAGAGACAGACGCATAACTCTAAGCCAAAATAACTTAACTGACAAATGAACTCACCTGCTAAATTGCTCTATAGATATAATAGCAGCTAAAGAGAGAACTCCATTTGGTGTTCTGTTATTAATAGTCTGTTCAGCCATAAATATGTCCTCCATATCCTGCGTCTCCAAAGCATCTCTGGTGACAGGCTTTCTAGTCTGACCAGTTCTTACCAGTGGAGAAGTCACTTCATTTAAAAAGTTTTGAGTCTTCAGTAGCCATGAGTTCAACTTTTCTTGCACTGCATCTGTCAAAATGCAATAGTTATAGATAGCTAACACTAGAAATTTTTTTAAAGAGACTAGTTTTTGGCACATGTTTCATAAAATCTAGAGACTGGTATGTAAGCATTAAAAAGTAGTGGTGCACCCAGCTTAGCCAACAAAGAAAGTAACGGTGCATCTCGTTCTTATACTTTCATTTTTTCCATATTCTAGGCATGTTCTTGTTCCTTTTTCTTTTCTTTTTTCATACCCTAACATTGTCTAAATTAGCAGATTCTGAGATGATTCGGGAGTCTTATATATTCTGTATTGTATTTTCCAAAACAGAACATTGATAAAGGGTTACCACTCGCTAGAATATACTTTTTGAAACCAGAAGGTTCACAAAGCCTTTGCCTCCTGAGAGACATGCTCGATAGAGCTTCAAAAACACCAAGAACACAATTTTTTAATTCCAGTACATAAAAGGACTGGGAATGCATCAAGTTTTCTTCCAACGTCAGCAGGAAAGTGACAGGTTGACATTAAGTAACAGCCAGCTCCACCACAAAAATGAGGACACATGTTGCATACTCCACTCGAAAAGGTGAGAAATCCTATAGCTAAGCTTCATGCGACATTAATCACTCTTCATAGAAAGTTAGAAATTAAGATACTGATGCAGGACAATAAGGATAAATGCGTGAAAAACGCTACTGTTCATTTAATTTGGAATTCACAGCAATTGATGATTGCAGTAAATTTTTGGTAAGGAAATAACAGAAGCAAAGTTAAAGGACAAGAAGAGAACAAGAAAATGGTACAAACTACTAGCATTACACCTGTGGGCTTCTAGGCATCACTCCTAGAGACCGAACGCATCACGCCTACACTTGGATTGCATCACAAAATCCTATGGAGAAGCAAATTTGCAGGAAAACTTTAAGTTCATTCATGTCCAGAAAGAAGTGTATCTATTATCCCAGACATACATTGAACTAATATTAATTACCATAGGATTATGCATTTACTCAAGTTTGAACTAATGTTTTTATACAACTATGTGCTTACCCAATACATGAAACCTAAACATAAAAGACTCTTGGCCACATAAGAGCAGTGTGTCATTGACTTAACTTAACTATACCCAATTACGCACGGTCCCTAGTTGGCCCAACATCATCCAACATATACCAAATTAAGGCTTGGAGCCCTCCTTTCCACGAATATCTGGTAAGAAGGCTAAAACCTCAAATATCTGTTTCATTCCATCTTGCCAGGGCACAATTCATTCATGGAAGTTGTAATTGCTAAAATAAATAATAATAAAAAAGCTTAGCAAACTCATATCCTCAACAACTAGCCAAAGAATGATTTGAAAAAGAGGGAACGGGAAAGGCTTCACTGAGCTACTGACCAAACAAAGATAGATATTTCCAGTATGTGCCAATATAACTCTTATTTATTATTTACTCTTCTTGTTCTAAGCTGAGGATCCTTCCGTCCCTAGGTACTCAAATAAGAATGGAAATTTTTCTGTAAATCCCCATTCAAATCATCATCCTCTACTTATTTTTCAAAAGATAAACATATAGAACACCAAAATTCATTCTACTTATCTGGTTGGCTTAGACTCAGAAGATTCTGAGCACACACATTGAATCCAAGCTATAATTTATTGAAGATATCTAAATTCTTGTAAAAGAGACATATTTTGGAATTTGCAAGAATAGGAGAACAAAAGATTAAGATGGAGCTTCGCCACAGTGTGATGCAATCCCAATAGAAACCAGGAAAAGAATTGCCCCTCATTACGAACCACAAAATATTAAGATAGCTACCTTTTGCAAGTTTAAGACTTCAGCTTGAAAATACAAACTATAAATTTGAGCATTCGAAGACACAGAAAACCCATAATATTGGAAAGGTTGTTCCAGAAATAAAGAGAAATGTTACTTCTTTTAATGAAAAATGTATTGCACAACAAATAAATGCAAAAACAAAGTTAAACTTCGGCTATCCCCCAAACAAAGAAAATTCTTATATATAAAAACAAATAAACCAAAAAGGCACTCACTTGCATCAATTTCGTTTAGCTTCCATCTATCTCCCAAAGACCGCCCCACAATCTTGAACCGAGGCTTATTAAACTGTGAAGAATTCCTTGCACAATATCCAAACCTACGCTGATTCCCATGCCATGAAAATCCAGAAGTCGATGCAGATGGTGATGCTTTCAAGTGGGTAACTGAGATTTTCGAGAGCATTTCTTCCTTTCTTCTTTTCTGAACTGGGTCTTTGTTTTCAAGATTGGAGCTTTGAGTTCGTGGGTCTGTTAATCTTTGCAGAACTTGGAAAGTAGCAAAAACTTTTTCGGCCCAAAAAGGGACTTTGGTTTTTTTCACCTTACAGTGAGACTGTACGAGAGCAAAACTTATTTGGCAAGTGGGGTAGACAGAGAGAGATAGAAAGTGAGGACGAGCATACCGAGCCGACTTGGTTGCTGCGTTCATGGCCTCTTAAAAGTATAAACAATAAGCTCCACGTGCAAAAGATTTGTACGGCTGAATGTGACTGATTATAATAGCAGATAGCTCCAAGCTTCAACTTCCAAATAGGATTGGCAATTACGTTCGGTAACTCCCAAAAACCAAACCCAATTGGTTATTTTTCTTGGATTTTTAATGGGTGGTTTTTGGAGAAATTTAATTAAGACATTCAAACAAAAATAAGTAATTTATTGAGATCCTTTTTCTCTTTTAAATATTTTTCCCTGATTTTCGTTTATCAATAAGAGCAGTTTAAGACAGAGTAATTACTCGTACAAAGAAATTAGCACTTTCAAATTTAATAGTGCACATGTACATACGTATTTTTTATGTTTAATACAAGTATTTTGAATAAAATTTGCAATAAGACACACAAAATTAACGTATTATACAAATAATTTTCACATATTATTGAATAAAAATAATATATATAAAAAATATTATATAGTGACCTAACTTTTAAGTTGTAAAGAGGTCCTCTTTTCTTTAAATTAAAAAAAACCGTATCGCCGCATGACTATACACGGTTTCTTCTGATTTTTTTCCTTAAAAATAGAATATGTAGCTGTTTTTTTTTCCTAATTGTTTAAAAAATAGTATAGTTGGACAGCTATACTTATTTTGACACGTGGCCGCCAAATCGTAAGGGGGTCTTCTTTTTTTACTTGTATAAATAGTATAGCCGCAGGGCTATACTTGGTTTTTTATTTAGTATAGCCGCACGGCTGTACTTAGTTTTTCCTTATTTTTTTCAAAATAAGGAAAAAAAACCTCTCCCGACGAAATTTCATCGAAAAAGATCTAATACGGCAACTTTCGCCAGGATAGACATGTGCCGACGAACTTTCATCAGAAGATATTTTGTTTAAAAATAAATATAAACTTAGTATGTTTAGGTTAATTAATTTTTTAAAATTTTATTTTTACTAATTATATATTATCGTTGCCTTATTTTAATTATTATTTCTTTAGTGAATAATTAGTATTAAATATTTTAATTAACTTCATGAATTATATTACTCAGTAAATAGTAATTCAATTTTTCGATTTATAGAGTATAGTCGTGCAGCTATACTCTTTAAATATATTTCCACATTGCACCAACAATAAAAATATGAATCTCTCTCTCTCTCTCTCTCTCTCTCTCTCTCTCTCTCTCTCTCTCTATATATATATATATATATATACTTCTTTATTTCTTTATTTATTTCACATGCATGGATTCCATGAACCATGTTGCAGTGGAAGGCTGACTATTTAATGCACTTGTAGATTTGCCCCTCACTGCTGATTAAGAAGGATCGTGGGCGCCCTACTAACCCAAAGGCAAGACCAAAAGCGTATGGAGAAGTCAACATCCTCAGCAATGTTCCTGGTGTTGAACTGCTAGAAGAGGATGATGGCAATGAGGATGGTGAATCAGGTGATGATGGTGATGAAGCTTCATTAAGCGGCACTGATGATGATCTTGATCACGCTGAGATGGTTGCTTCCAGTGATGATGAAGACAACGAAATAGCTAACAGTGACAGTGGAAGTGAAGAGGATTATGTAGTAGCTGAAGATGTAGATAGTGATGGTAGTATAGATGACAACGACAGTGATGTCAGTGGGGATGCGGATGAGGATGACGAAGAGGAAGATAGTGGAACTGGAGTAAATTACAAAGCAAAAAAGAGGAAGGTTTCTGATTTTGATAAACAACTTAATGATGCTGACGCAAGTCTTCGTGCTTTAAAAAGATTGGCCAAAGAGAACATGGAGCACACTTCATTGGACTCAACAGATGGTTTTCTTTCTAATGAGGACTTCCAGAGGATTAAGGAATTAAAGGTTTGTTTTTATTTGTTCAGTTGGACCCAAACTTAAGTTGATGCCAAAGGTGAAACATGTTGTAATCCTGTAACCTCAGGACATGAATAAAATTAATGTTTTTAATCTCTCTTAATCTTTACATTCTGACCTCTTGTAGATGTCATAAGACCGTGTCCATTATTTGATTCTTCATTTTGCCAGGCAAAGAAGGATACCACATTTGCTTTGACTCAGCATGGATTGTTGAAAAAGGGTGCAGATCCAAATCACCAGGATTCAGGATTCCCAATTCGGATGAACTGAGCATTAAGCGAGTAAATCCTGCAAAGCTTGAAGTCATTTTTATCATTTTACTGGTCATGCTACTCTCAGTATCTGCTTTGAAGGAGTCTGTCTCTACATATTAGAAATAATGCATCCTAAGTAGAGATAAATAGATTGAGAAAAAGTTTTTAGAAACGTTGGAATTCTTGATAACTCCTATACCTGTATTATTTGCTTCAAAAATCCCTCTAGTTTTTCTACTGGCCTTGGCGTCTTATAAATCCAAGGGAAAAGAAAACTATAAAGCTTAAAAACGCCATATTGTACCTTTCTTTATTTTCATTGACCCAATTGAGCGTCTACTATGCAAGTCCACGTGAAGAAAAGGATGAGCAAGGAGGAGAGATTGGCATTAGTTAGAGCAGGGACGGAGGACAGAGGGAAGTACCAGAGCTGCTATAAAACAGAAGAAGGTATGTTCATTGGATCTCACTAATTGCCATAATACTATATTAATGTATTTAGTACTCAGTTCACCTTTTATCAGTTCAGTAGTTGAATATTTGTGCTTGTCCATGTTTAACTAAAAAAGCATTGCTTCTGCATTGGCTGTTAGATCAAAAGCTTAGAATCCATGGCATCTCCCTTTTTCCTAACAATTGCTAGCTCTGACTGAAAAAACTATATCTGCCGGAAGATGTTTATTTATTTCCTTTTTACTTACCATGGTTTTTTTTTAGGGTCAAATTTTATTTATCTCGTTTAGTGTTCTTAAAGCCTTTTTAATATGTTGTGTAATCCAGTATCTGCCATAGCATATATCACCATTCTCACTTTTGCCTTTTGTTTAATGGCCTGTACCGCCAGCATAAGCTGAGCCAATTACAGAATGCCACGTCGCCATAGGCAGGTAGGGTTACCCATTTAATAACCCGATCTGACTCGAACCCCCGGACTGGGAGTCGACCAGACTTATGGTGATGTAGCACCCGAGCGCCTAACTCTACCGACTTGACGCTGGACCAGAGGCGCATTGATTATGTACAGATATGGCAGACCTCCTATCAAAAGGTCAAATCACTTCACTGATCTGACCAGTAACCGAGCTATAGAAAGTGATCAATTAATGCACCACCCATCCCCTGCCGCCTATCACTTCGTCACCTATTCCATGTTAGAAAGCATGGTGATTGGAAAGGAAGCATTTAATGAAGCTCAGGTGAGGAGAAGGAAAGAGGAAATATCTTCCAAACATACTTCCTCCCTCACCTTCTCTCCCCTATAAATACTCCTTGCCTATCTCTGGACAAGAATAATAACTCTTCATATGATAAAAACCTACATCCATTCTCTCTAAAACAAAAGATAGTTTCTGACTTAACCATCACAGAGGGTTAGGCTGGGATCAACCTCAGTCCGCCCTAATTCTGATATCGTTCGAAGTGTGCAGATCTTCCTTCGAAGGTTATTCATACTCTAAGGCCCAACATAGGCCCAAGTTATCTATATGAGAAGAATACACGGATAACACCTTTAAACCTTTCTGGTTGCTTCTATGAACTAGTAGGGGATCTTATCTTTAGAAAAATAAAGAGAAAAAAAATAAGTGAATAGTAAGTTCCAATAAGGTTATGCTGCGACATTGAACTTCTATAACATGTATTTTCATTAATGCCAACAGACGGGCGGTATGAGCAATCGGCAGAAGGAACACAAAAAACCCATGCCTCTTGCTGCAAAGAGGGCAAAGGTAGCTAAATCTCGTATAGATAAAAAGAAAAAGTAGCAGCGAGCTGGCAAACAATTCTGAGGGAAGAAAGCATGGAAATGAAGAACTTCATCAGTTTATCTTTTTCTTTTCTGCCCCTACTTTTTTACTTAAAGTAAATTGTTAGAGTTTGTTATTTATGAACAAGACGCCATTGTTTTCCTTGATGCCCGTTTTGTAGTTGTGGGGCTGCCTCAATTCTCAAAAGAGCGTTTATAGAGTTCTGTATTCAAAAACTTTTATGACATGTTCAAGGCAAGAAGCGAGGCCGCGATGATCTTGAGAACAGGGGTGTGGGAGCAAATTTTCCCACGAGAATATTCGATTGGAAAGATTCCCTTTTTCTTATTCACCGCCTCTTTCTCCCTGCAAAATAGAACAAATAAGAGGATCACACCCGGGGGGTGTTGGCCAAAGGTCATTGGATGCCTAAATTAGTTCAATTGAATCGTATAGAAAACAATAGCTAATAGGGTACGGATATATGTTTATGGTGTAAACCGGGCGGCCGGAGCCTTATGTAAAAGAGAGAGAGAGGAGGTGGCTAGGGTTTGTGAGAGGAACATCTCTACAGAGTTCTAGTAGTAATTCTGACGTACCTCAATCCTTGTGCGTAGCCAAGTATTTATAGTGGGCCTCGACGAGGTTGGTGCATTTAGGGATTTAATTTAATCAAATCCCTAATTAAGACAAGAATCAAATACACCCAATCTGAATCAAATATCCTTCCAATTAATTCAGGTAACTCCCAATTAAGTCAAATAATTCCCAAATTGATTGGCCTAATTATTTGACCTAGGGTGAGATATTTTGCTTCCACAAGGGGCAAATCACCAATTAAGCCAAAAGCCAAATAATGAGGATAATTACTGTTCTCGTCAATCTTGATTGTAATATTTTTGCCTGGGTAGCTGCATGAAACCCGGTTTTGAGAGAGAGAGAGAGAGAGAGAGAGAGCTACTTGGTTAGTTTTTGGTCAGCAAAGTTTGTCATAAATTAAGAAACCATGAATTAATAGCTACATATATAGATAAAGGAAACCATGTGTTTGTGTTTGTTTCAATTATGCAAGATTAATAACTATTAATCAGAAGGGATACCACCTACTCTTCAAGAAAAAGTACACGAAATTTGAAAATGACTAATTTCTTTCTTCCTCAAAGTTGCTTTCAGTTTTTTTGTTTTTTTGTTTTGGGTACAGAAGTTGCTTTCAGTTTTTAATTATGCTCTTACCTTCTGTATTCGATATCGACTATTCCAAGGGACAGCAGAGAAACAGCTGCATCAGTAGTTTGAACCATCCGGCCAAAGGTTCGTTTGCTAAGGATGAAGTCTGTGCGGTCACTGGAGCCTTGGTCATGTTTTAACTACAATTACTCCTTTGTCTGAGCAATAGAGGCTGTTGGTGCACCTCACCTAGTGATTAATATTGAAGCAAAAAAATTAATCATCATCACAAGCCCATATTTTCATGCTTTGGGCGTGGATGCTCACCTGGTAACAAGCACCGCATTCGACACCTCCATTGCGATAGAGGTCAGAGGCAGCTCAGACATCCCCTCCATTGATGGTTGCTCCAAATGAACCAAACCCAAAAGCACCTACTGCAGTTCATCAAATATTTGTTAGTACTAAGCATGCACATGAATGCACTGGCACATGCATATAGCATGCCTGCAACATAGAAATCTTCTGTTCATTGTTTTTTCTTTAATTAAAAGTCTCTGACTATCTGTTCCTCGCGCTTCAGAACTCGGAAAATAAGCTTCCTGAGAATGAACAAAACAGTCGCTGCATGTTGCACTTCAGAATTCGGATAATACGCTGCCCGGAAAGGGAAAGTTGAGAACCACAGAGAGAAGCCATTATAGGTCCTCACAAGCAAAATGAAACGAGAGCTAGTTTGCTTGTTAGAATATTATTGCAAGTTGGTGGTACTGCATGAAGCTGTAGCTAAATGGTTATTATATTTGTAGTAAATTTTGAAGTCCAAGTTCAATTTGGTAAACCTCACCAACTTTGACATTCGTCTAAATTTGTTTTTTTTCTGAATAAGTGGAAAATTCTGTTACTTGCGTTTGTCGGCTACCTTCCCAGCCAGATTTATGTACTTGATTTAGAATATTATTGTGGAAAGCTAGCTTCTTTCTCTCACCTTACAAATGTGATTGTGGAAAGCTAGTTTGTAAGACAAGGAAACAAAAATCACAATCACATTTGTAAGGAAGTATGAATGTAAATCACAATCAAACTAGCTTTCCACAATAATATTTACATTCATACTTCCTTTTAAATTAAAAGCTAGATTTATGTCATTCACATGATTCTAAACTGATAGAAAATGTCAGGATGTGACTAATTTGCCCCAAAATAGAGAGTTGGAGTATCATTTGAGCAAATAATTTAAGGGAGTTTCACTAAAACACCCAAAATGGGGGTTGAAATTATAAAAAAACCCAAGCACTATTTAAACATATAAACACACCCAAAACCCATCATTACACACACTCAAAACCCATTTATAAACACACCCAAAAAGTTGACTTTGGGGTTGATTTTGGGTGTGTTTCTATGTTTAAATAGTGCTTGGGTTTTTTTATAAATACATGTCTAGGATTGGGTTTATTTATAAATTTGTAATAATTTAATTGGATGACCAAAATGTAACTCTGGGAACAAATTCAGAGACTATTCAATCAAAAACCCTCAAAATAAATGTAATTCAGCCTTCTATTTACATTCATACTTCCTTTTTCCATCTTATGCACGACTTCTTTTTACCCCCTTGGTCAAAGTTAGGAAGGGGATAAGAGTTTTCTCACACACACAAATGCTATGGGGGTTTGAACTTGAGACAATTGATTTACAAGTCAAGTCCCTTTTCACTAGCCTAAATGGCTTTCTATAGAAGTTTTGTCACGTGGTTCATTATTTGCTACAAAAATCAAAAGAAATAAGTTTTTAATTTAGTTTTTATTAAACAAATTAGATAAAATAAGGATGCATTAAGAAATGAAAATTTTGTCCAACGTGATAAGGTAGGGATGTGAATAGAACTACAAATTTGAGTGGAGTGACTGCTGCTGCCGACTGATTGAGCATAGAAAATCCCAGTCCATAAGCAGTTTTCCGGCTTTACCCTTTTGCAAACCTTTATAAATTATAATGTTTTTTAGCAGAGTGAGGAGTTGGAAAGACCAAGGACTTAACTATAAAAAAAAAAAAAAAAAAAAAAAAAAAAAAAAGAAAAAGGAAGGACCATTAGCAGCATGGCCTTATCTTCTTCTCCTCTGTCACCTACGCTCCTCACAACCACCCAATCCTCCTCTTCACCTTCAACCCCCAAACTACTCTCTTCTCATTCTCCACTCACCTCCTTCAGCTTTCCAACCAAACCCACGACCACCCACACCATTCACTTTCACACACTCTCGAGCACTTCAGCCTCTGACAAATGGAGAGCCAAAGTTCCATTCTTTCCTGCATTTTTTAGCAAAGACAAAGATGCTAAAACTCTCAAGGAGGAGCTTCTTGATGCCATTGCATCGCTTGATCGAGGCGCTGATGCCACTCCAGAGGACCAGCAAACAGTTGATCAGGTTGGTTTGCCGTTTTTGCATTCCCTTGTTTACTTTTTAGCTTTGATTTGTTTTCTGGGCTCTTGTTTTTCTTTGTCTTAAATGCAATCTGAAACTGAAATATCTGATGGGAATTTATTAAAACATTGTTTGGGGTTTGGAAATTAAAAAAACCCAGGTTGTTAAGAAATGTAGCAAACAGTGTGAAATAATGCTCTAGTATCCTGCACTAGTTAAGGTTCTTACTATAAGATCCTATGCCCTATTTAGCAATTTTAGGAAAATTGTCACTGCAGATGAACAAATACATCAAACCAATCCAGAAAAAAGTTGAGCACAGGAAAAAAAAGAAGATGATTGGGATTTGTTATATTTGCAACTTCATAACCTTGAAAGTTTGTAAGTCCATGACGCTTTAGGTTGATCCTGTATTAGCACGTGCTTTTGGGCTGTGGTTATTTCTAATATGTCATTTTTGTCTCAGTAGAGGGTTGTGAGACATTAGTTTCTGATGTCTATGTGCATCTTTCCATTTTGTTTCTTGCAATTCATTTCTAAATAGATTGCACGCAAACTTGAAGCAGTTAATCCAACAAAGGAGCCACTCAAATCTGATTTACTGAATGGAAAATGGGAGCTTATATACACTACTTCAAAGTCTATTCTGCAAACTCAGGTATAGTGGTTTTTTATATTACTTTCGCCAATTAAAGTTTCCACTTCCGTTGATATTTGATTGTTTATGTCTTTCCAAGACTAGAAGTCTGTCCAAAAGACTAGAAACATATGACAATGTAAAAATGAAATTAGAAAAAAAAAAAATATCATCCATTTCATAATGGGCTTTGTTAGAACCCTTGATATCACAATGAGAAATATTAATATAATTTTGTACCTTAAACAAATGCCTTCATTTTGATTAGTACTCATGTGCTTCTAAATGCGACTGAGACTGAGAGTTTCCTTTTATTAATAAGAAATGTCCAAACTAACCGGATTGGGTTCATTTTGTTTAGCACTGCAATATATGATGCGATGTTTCTTTCCTTGTTTTTCTAACATTTAAAAAAAAAAATCTTAGTAATGTCTTGTATGTGTGCAAGATACTTTGCTTGCTCTTTTATCATGATATATCTCTATTTTCTCTTTCATTTTATAAGATGTGAAAAATTCGTACTCGAGATTATTTTACAGCTCCTAGAAATTGCACTCACTTGACAAATGCATATCATGACAGAGACCCAAATTTTGAGATCAAGGGTAAATTACCAAGCAATCAATGCTGACACACTTAGGGCCCAAAATATGGAATCATGGCCAACTTTCAATCAGGTAATATTCAATTCATTCCTTCATTGTTTGTTTAACTACGTCTATGAATTTATCATTTACCAAATTTCTGATAGAGAGCTTAACTTGTTTTGAATATCACTTTGTTGCTTTTTAAAAAAAAAAAAAAAAAAAAAATGGGGGGCATGCATGAAAAAAAAAAAAAAAAAAAAAAAAAAAAAAAAAAAAAATAATTATAATTCTTTTTTAAATTTTTATTGAAAAATAAACTCTACTCCTGCTACTCCCTATCCCTATCCTTATGCCTTTCCAAAACAATACTAGAACCAAAATTCTTGAAAGGGATTCATGACAAAATATATCACATATAAAAGAAATATAATTACTTCTTGTTTTCGTGGACCCATAGTCATGTAGTGGGGGGTTGCAATATGTGGAAGATTGGGGAAGGTGGACTTCTGCTTAATGCTTTAGGTTTTTGAACATATTAATCTACCACAATAGCTATTACATACCTTGTCAAGTAGGCTCTAATTAAACATAGGGTCAATTGCACTTTGCATCCCTAGAGTTGAGTGAAATTAGCTTACAGAAGATTGTGTTTGCCACCACACCAGTTGGCTGGTGCATTAGCCTTACCCTAATAGGGCTGAGACAAGAAGTATGATCCTTCGATTAGAACGCCATATTTTTTCCTTGATCTTTTAATATGATCAAGTTTCAACCCTACCATTATACATTGTAGTAATGATAACCCTGCATTTACTTTCTACATTAATGCAGACGATTTAGTTACCACAGGGCTATCATTTGTACTAATTTAAAGGCAGAGAGGAATGAAAAATGCGTTTCCCCTAAAACATTTATAAATCAGCTAGAAACAGGGGATGCAGCAAAAGTGGGTAATATTCCTCCGTGTTTGATCATGCAGCTACTGTGTGCTTTAGGCAGGAATACTTTTTGCATTCCCTTTTCTACCCTTAAGGTTAAATGGTTGCAATGTTGTCACCACCAATCCATCTGTCTTTGTGTGGAAGTTATACTGAAGGTTCACATTGCTATAATGTGCAAATGTTACGGTATAAATTAATCAAATTGAAACTTCAGGACCGACAGATTTTTACTCTCAAACTATAAGGGTGTAGGGTTTAATTGATTCTTCAAAATATGTTCTATGTACAATAAATTTGAATTTCAAGAGGAAACATGGTAATATGTACTAACAGCTTTGAAGGTTCTTTTCTAATTGGATGAAAGCACTTGTGCTTGTATGTTTTATATCACTAAAATCCATTTAGATGTCAGATCAATAATTTATTCTTTTCACGTTAAGAAACAGTGAGTATGTTGTTAAAACCGGACCTGTTATTTTACTGACTTTTTATTATCAATGCTCCGTAGGTAACAGCTGATTTGACGCCTTTGAATGCAAGAAAAGTGGCTGTAAAATTTGATTATTTCAAAATTGCAGGTCTGGTAAGTATTCTTGATGTTAAAGTTTGATCATTAAGCTGAAGGTTAAATTCTGATGTTCCTGCTTGTGTTATATTAAATCTCTTTTGGATGATTTAAATTGTGCAGTTTTCCCCTTTTGTTGGAACCTTGGACCTTTTCTATGTTATATAGAAAGTGTTCTCATAATTGGTAGAATAATGAAAGTATCAAAGAAATTTTTTTACATGAAAAAATATTAGACTTGTAATTAACAAAACTACTAACAGTAAAGGGTAGATAAAGTAAGTTTCGGAGATTTTATGACTCTGGTCAGATATTGGGTTGGAGTTGTGTCGCATGTGTTCTTGGTTGGTGCAACCATGTAGGAGAAAATTGCCCTCTATATCTATTAGGTTAGAAGGATGAAAAGTATACCTCACTGCAACTAACACATTACGATCTAGGCTCCATGATGGAGTATTTAGGTCTTTCTTTATTCTGAAGGCTTGAATCTCTTATCTCAACCAAGGGTGAAGAAATTAGTTATTGTGACATTGAATAAATAGACTCAGATTTGCCATAACAGAAATATTAAAGATCAGCTAGTGATCAGATGATGCACAAACCGTTGCTCTAATATAATAACCTAAAGAAATTTTGGATCACCTTTCAGCAACTAGTTATAGCAAATTTTAGCATAACAATACCTTTATTTGTCTTGTAGCCCCCAGGAAAGATTAAAAAAGAGGGGAAAATGCATTATTGTGAGCATTTCTGACGGTCTACGTTTTCAAATTTTTTATATATTTTATAATCTAGTCTGATCCTATTCTATTCAAGGAGGAAAAAGTAGATATGCTACATATGCTTCACTGAATTATCCAAACTTCTTATGAAGCGTAGTGATGATGCAGTCTCTTATAGAAAAATGAAAAATAAAATAATGATACATTATCAAATTATTTTCCTTTAATAAGTTTTATATTTCAGATACCTGTTAAGGCACCTGGAAGAGCACGCGGAGAACTGGAAATTACATATTTGGATGAAGAACTTCGGTGAGTGTGAGAACCTTATTTTTTGTCTGAATATTTAGGACTACAGACAGAGCTAAACTTGTTGATACGGTTCTCCCTACTGAAGGAAATAATGCATTTATGTTAAGTATATAAGAATGCATGCAATATTGGAGAAACTTGTCCGACCTCCAACTGCCTTGGATCGTAGAAAAGGTTGATAAACTTTGGAGGTTGGATAAACCCACTTATGATTTGTATTAGTCTCATGGAAGCTGTAATTTACATTTGTTATTGAGGGAGTTGATTCTTCATATCCCTTGAAACATAGAAAGCATAAAGCTAGTTGAATTTTTGAAAAAAGTGAACATGAGACCTTTCCCAGGATTTTTTCTTCAAAATTTAACTCACCACGAGTTGAATTTGTTACTAGGTTTTCTTTCTCCGTTTCTTAATTTTATCCTGTCCAAAGGCTAATACGAATATCAGATGCTGTGGTGGATATTATTTAAATTGCTACATTTTCTTGAGGGTTAATTTCATCTACATCTAATAACAACTGTTTCGGTCATTGAATGGCAATTCATAACATTCATGTTTCGTTTCTATTGGCAGTGTCTCAAGGGGTGACAAAGGAAACTTGTTCATCTTGAAAATGGTTGATCCGTCTTATCGAGTTCCTGTCTGATGTGCAATCATATTGCAGAGCATGTAACTATCTGAGCATCACCTTGTTTCTTCTTCTATTTCTTCGTGACTATGGACATGCAAGTTTTGCCTAGACATGGCTTCCGCTCGTATTTCTCGTCATATAGGTGTTATATGAAAGATTGTACATGTCACAGTTACCTTGCCTGCCATCCTGCACGCTAAAGGCGTTTCGTGACCTTTACGTTTTAGTTTGTTTTTCTGGAAATATATTGTAAAATGTTTAGTCAAGACCATACATTTGATAGGTCATTATATTGTGTTGTGTTGTGACGAATCATATCGGCAACAGAGGTTTCAACGAATTGTAGTACAGATTGTATTATACAGCATAGACATTTCGAAGTTACTTATCTTCAATTTAGCCCTAACTCTGAATGTCACATTTCTCCCTTTTCTTTCAAGAACTCCTACGCTGAAGTGATTGCTGTTTGGAAATGGTTGGCCAAGCTAATGAGAATTAAAATGTTTGATTTCTTCTATTCCCACGTTGGATGGAGCCATTTTCTATGAAAATGTCTTTTATGTTTTTTTTTCCCTTTCATATAAGCAATAGTCTAAACTATTCTAAATTAATCTAATTTATGCGAAAATAGATTCGAACTTGCTCCACGCACTTGGTGAATTTCAAATATTTTTCATAGGGTGCTCTATTAGAGGTTTTGGTTCCTTCTCACTGCTTTGATGGAAAGAATATAGACTATTTGGTTAGGTCGACGACAAAACAATTTTGTGTCGATGGCCTAATCTTCTCAGCTAATGTATGTTACTCTTTTTTTTACCCTCTTCTCAATAATTTTATCGCTAATTTAAAAATAAATAAAAAACTATGAGAAAATTGAGTTTTTATTTCTTATTTCTTTATACAAGCTAGAGTCTAAAAATTACACTAAATTAACGTGTAGAGAAAATCCAAGCACAACCGCACACCGTGTTGACTTAAGTGAGGTATGAATACGGAAAATCGTGAACGACCGCACGATGTAACGAACGGTCCAGATGGCTTCAATGTTTTAAGTGGCAAGCGTTCTCAATTTACCCGCTAGAAAAGATATTATACCCGATTGTGATAACGAGACAACCCGTTAGAAATTTCTATTGGATTTTCAATTCTGAGTTTCTAGGGGTTTTTGAGACCCAACTGCGTTTTTGGCTTCGGCTGCAAGCTCAGAAAAAGCTTCACTTTGGAATTCTTGGTCCTTCCTTCAAGCTCCTTAGGGTAAGGTTCTCAAGACTCTGCATTTCTGCTCTTTTGGCTTTGGTTTTTTGGGGTTTTGATAACCTCTCTCTCTCTCTCATTGATTAAGCGCTGTAATTTGTGTGTAAATATTTGACTTAGTATTGGATGTAGAATTGCTCCAACTGCGTTTAATTTAGGCCTCTGGGTTTCAATTTTGATTACCCAGACTTTATCATTAGCTAAAGTTTACGTTTTTGGCAGAACTGAAGGGAGCGTAAGGACCAAAAGAAAAGGGTAAATGATGATGACAATGGAAGGAGTAGCTGTAAAACTTCCATCCTATTCATTCCCAATCATACGAAGCCCTGCCCGCTGCGTTACTCGGAACTTCCGACCCTTTTCCATATCCGCTTCAACTCTTAAAGAAGGCCACCCGGCGGCCCCGTCTGTTCCACCTGCATCCCTTTCGCTTGGTCACTTGACCCGACCCGATTTCCCCATCCTCCATCAGGTCTGTTCATATATAACTGTATTTATTATAATAAAAAATTTGTGTCTGTAATTCTTAGATATTAATTTATTATTTGTTACTTACTAGTACTCATGGCCCCATGAACATGGCAGGAAGTAAATGGGTCTAGGCTTGTTTACTTGGACAATGCTGCAACTTCCCAAAAGCCTACTGCTGTGATAGGAGCTTTGCAGAATTACTATGAGTCTTACAATTCAAACGTGCATCGTGGGATTCATTACTTAAGGTACAGACTAGAGACTAGAGTAACATTAAAATACCAAACATAACTAATTCTGTTTGAGTCAATATCACTCTGATTCACTTATTAATTAATTCGTTGACAAATGATTTGAAGTTAGAGTTAGTTATGCTTTTAGCCTGCCTATATCTTATTATTTCCTCTTGTTGTCAACTTAGTGCAAGGGCAACAGAAGAATATGAACTGGCGAGAAAGAAGGTTTCCAACTTTATCAATGCATCGGACTCCCGAGAAATTGTTTTTACTAGGAATGCTACTGAAGCCATCAATCTGGTTGCTTACACATGGGGACTCCAAAATATAAAACCAGATGATGAGGTAGGTACAACTTCACTATATTTTTTTTCCATTATGTCTTTCATTTATTCATCAGAATCACTTCGTGCCATAACCGTTCATAAAGGAATAAACAATTGCAGTGTTCTTTATATGGTGATCATGTTCTTTTGGTGATGGTGTCTCTTATTTCGTTATCCGAGTTTAGCATTTAATATCTCCACATACTTCCATGATTTGTTTCAAATAGCTGCATGTGATTTTATGACAACATCTTTCTGTTCCGTAGATTGCTCTTGATTGAATCTTAAATGCAACTACCGTTCCTGCTCAATCATTTTTATTTTTATTTTTTTCCAGATCTTACTTACAGTTGCTGAACATCACAGTGCAATCGTTCCTTGGCAACTTGTAGCTCAAAAGACCGGCGCTGTTTTGAAATTTGTGGAATTAAATGGGGATGAAGTTCCAGATGTCGACAATTTAAAAGATATGCTTTCAAGGAAAACAAAGCTTGTAGTTGTTCATCATGTCTCAAATGTGCTTGGTAAGTTTCTTTGTCTTAAGCCATTTGTATTGTTGAATTTCTTCCCTTATTTTTCCATCAGTGGGTTTTTCTTCCTCTATACACATTATGTTCGCAATTAGTTTGTATTGGTGATTAAAAACTTGTTGCCAATTATTGAGCATGCTGAACTGGAAATAAACCTGCAATGCCAAGTATTATTTAGTGGCATTACCGTTTACTGAAGCTATTGTGATCCAATTGATTACTGAAGCTATTCTGTTTCAATTGATAAAGAAAGGGTTTTCTGCTTGCCACTTTCAATAATTCTCTATTTAGAAAAGCCCCCATTCTGGTATTCTAGTGTTATTTATGTATACTGGCGGCTTCACTAGTAAGAATAAGAAGGATGTGGTTAAACATAGAGACGTCTGATTTGGGTTATACAATTCTGAATGCAGATAGGTAAGCTTGGTGTTTATTGATGCTGTGACCTAGCTCTCGTCATATTGATATGCTCCAATGTGTGTAAATGTAATAAAAGTATGTTGGTTTGGTTTACATGGGGCACCTTATCTGTATGTGCATTGAAAAGTAAACTTTCTCTTGCGGTTAGCAGAATATTCTGCGATTGACTTTTGAATGTTGTCTGGGTTGTGCTTCTCTATTTATGTAATACAATAGGTGTCCCTTTATGGATTTTTCGAATTATACTAAAATAAACATGACACAAAGTCCTTGATTCTGTGGTTTACATTTCAACCTGATTTTTTATAGAGCCTATAGCTTATGTTCCACAATCTTTCCCTGAGGAACATAAGCTATGAACTGTAGAAAAAGTATAGATTTGTAGTCCTTTCCTCCCCCTATTTGTATATTCGTTCTTTATCTAGATTTCATTGATGGTAAGTGCTGCAAGTGAATTCTAGGTTTGCCATGCTAGATGATTCATGAAACTTTCATGTGCATGTGATTCATCTCTGTGCTGCTTTGGTATCAACTTTGCTCAGGCCACACTTATCTGGTGGAGACAAGTTCCATAGGTCCAGATATATATATATATATATATATATTAATAATGTTTTCAAATGCATCAAACTGTTACTTGAGTAAATTTCTTTTGTTTTGCTGTTGATTGAATACCGTAGATTTTGTGTCAAAGAAACACATAATAAATAGCATGACCGTACTGATGCATTTATAATATTTTCATGCAGGTTCTGTTCTTCCTATCAAAGATATCGTGCTTTGTGCTCATGATGTTGGTGCAAAAGTTCTTGTAGATGCTTGTCAGAGTGTTCCACATATGGTGGTTGATGTACAGGATCTGAATGCTGACTTTCTTGTTGCTTCTTCTCACAAGGTTAGGATACTGCCTTATGTACTAAAATATCCTTATGGGCAAGTATATGAAGTAAAGAATAAACATGCCTCAGATGTGTGGGCCCACAGGCGTTGGATTCTTGTATGGAAAGAGTGATCTCTTGTCTGCCATGCCTCCATTTTTAGGTAATTTCTTATTTATAAGTTGTGTTTTGAAAGTTCATTTCGTTTTGTATATCTATATCTAAAAGGGCAATGACTTGCCCGTATAATGTTTTACCTCTTTTTCTAGGTGGTGGAGAAATGATATCTGATGTATTCCTAGATCATTCCACCTATGCAGAACCTCCATCTAGGTTGGTGAATTCGCCTTGTCTTTTGGTAGATATGTCCTTATCCTGTTTCACGTCCTTGATGGAATTTCAGCTTTTCCTTATCCTGTGTAATTTTTAGCCTTTCGTTGAAGCAGATCACCCTTTATGAGTGTGGTTGGACTAGCCAGAGCATTTTATTTGTGCTCTTATTTTCTCAGGCTTGATTGGTTTTTCCACATTAATTATACACTACTTATCTGCTGATGTCTTTTTGTAACTGTCCTCCATTAACTGAACTAGGTTTGAGGCTGGAACACCAGCAATTGGGGAAGCAATTGGGTTAGGAGCAGCTATTGATTATTTGTCAGGACTTGGTATGCAAAAGATACATGATTATGAGGTAAGTTGAACTCTTCTGCCTTTGCATTTGTTGTTCTTTATAACTGATTTAGAACTTTCTGTTGGATGAGCTTTTATTTTGGTTTATTGTAGCAAGTACATAGTTGAAGAGAAAAGCTATAAGAGAGTGGAAAAGATATTTGTATTGCATGACTGATCAGTAGAAGACTTGGCTATTTTTCTAGGACACCAATGCATAAATCTGATCTGTAGGTTAGCCTTGAATTAATCACACAAGAGTTAAGCTAATCATACAATAGGCCTGAAATTAAGCTAATTAAACAATTAGACCTTCGTATAACAGTCTTAATTTTGGCCAAATGGCTAATATCAGCCATTGAAATTAAGGTTTTTCATTTGAGGTCAATATATATTTTTAAAGGAATGTGGTTTGGAAATGAGGCTTTGCTTGGGAACTGGCTTTGGAGATTCCCGACAGACAAATTCCCTTTGGTATGCTCTAATCAGAAGTAAAGCTTATCTTAGAATGGCTGGGATCTCAAGATTGTGGCTAGAGGTTTGACTCAATGCCCGTGGACAGATATTTTGAAAGGGATTGCTTGGTTTGCACCTTGTTGTTTTGGGGGTGGGTATTGGAAATAGTGAGGTTTTGGGAAGAGAGTGGGGCAGGAGAGAAACAGATTTTCGTTCATTGTATTATCCAAATTTCACAACTATACATTTGCATGAATGTGTGCATAAACACGTGATCTCTATTTTAAGCCAAGATCACGTGTTTATGTAGTCCTTACACAGTAATCATTCTTGTTTGCAATTTTTATTTTATTTTATTTTTGCAGATATTTCTTGCTAAATACCTATACGATAGCCTTAGTTCAGTCCCCAATATTCACATTTATGGTCCTGTCCCCTCAAATCATGTCACCCGTGCTGCTCATTGTTCTTTCAACATCGACAATATTCACCCTACAGATCTAGCAACTTATCTTGACCAACAGGTATGAAAACAAACAGGGCTTTATTTCCTTTGTGATAGAAGTGATAATGAATAAAATAGCTGATGCATTGCCAACTTATGCAATTCCAGCACGGAGTGGCTATCCGATCTGGTCACCATTGTGCCCAACCTCTTCATCGACATTTAGGAGTCAGTGCAAGCGCCCGTGCGAGTCTTCACTTCTACAACACCGTAGAGGATATTGACGACTTTGTCCAGGCCCTTAATGACACAGTCAGCTTCTTTAATTCTTTCAAGTAGTGAGCCTTGCTAGCCTCCTGTAAATTGTATAAACTATTCTACTGACTCCGTAAGCTTATATGAATTGAGCATCGTTTGTGCGATTCTTTGTTAAAGACTGGAGAACAATTCTTATTGTCTGATTAGAAACATAACACGGTAGTTGCTAGACTAATAGCTTATCAAGGTTAAATAACACAGTACTTTACAAAGGCGGAAGCACCTTGCAAAGATGACTAAGCTTTTGAGGACCAATAATTCTATCTCGTATTTGAACCTTCTGGAATCTGAAATAATATATGGGACATGAGAGATGCTGGGTTGCATAAATACCGTCAGACATAACAAACTCAAGTGTATCTTGCAATTAGCTACTTATAATTTAAAAAGATAAATAAACATTATTTACCAAATAGGCTTAATTGTGCCTGTGTCCTCCAATACGAGAAAACTTGTAAAAACCTGTTTCATGAAACGGGCGTCCCACATGTGGTTCATGTGCCACTCACGTGATATACCAGGTATGAGATTGTTTCATGAATGGGCGTAGGCAAGCTTCTCTCTCTTGCAGGAGGTAATTCTCAAGTCCTTTAATAGAACCGTTTTAAACCTTCTAGTATTATTTTTTGTATTAGTTTTGACCCTGGAGTTGTAACCAGAGGGGTGTTCGAACGGTTCAACATGAAAAGTACTACACAAAAACAGAAAATTACACCTCCACTGCTCTTGTTGAAAAATACAAATAATTTGCATCTACTAATCTAAACCAGAGTTTATTAATCTGCGTACATGTGTGTGTATGACAAATGGAATTTTGGTATCAAAACAAAGATTGAAAGCAATCAAGAATTTCACAACAGGATTGCCAAAAAAGTACATTGACCAATGGAACCTTCCCACTTCTGAGAACTCTAACGCACAACTACTTTCCTCAACCCAAGAGCCAGGGCTGAAGAATGCAAAGCTTAGCATTGAGGGAACAGGCGAGGAGAATTACAAACCATTAGAATCACCATTGCTGCAGAATGAACTACATTTTCCTACTATGAAAAATTGTCTTTCCAAAGAATACTACTTGGACTATATTTTTCTTCAGAGCGAAGGCAACTGAATTAATCTTTTTCTTTGGCGTCCTTTCCCGGGCACAACAAGAAGATATTTGATCAGTACATTATGTTTTCCATATTGAATTTCCCCTTAAAATCAACCATGTCCAAAATCCAAACCCAGGCAACCCATATGAACCTGAACAACTTAGAAAGTCCTTGAGTATTTCCTAATTTCATACATGATTGAAGATATCGACACTAGATCCTTGTTAAGTGCAGACCCACCAACAATCCTCTTTATGGAATCTGAGAGCCTAGTATAATAAAGCAACAGCTGAGTCAATGCAGCCCTCAAGATCTCCATACCACACAAGAAGTTGCTGAAAGAAGTTATGACATCTTTGTGCATCAGTTCGATTGCAGCTTTCCATCTACTTCCAAAGTCCTTCACAAGCGGCTCAACCTCCGCAACAGTTATAGGCTTCTCAGAACTAGCACTTGGATCCTCCGCTGATAAGTAAATTGCAAATAATTACATTAATCTAAATAACTAGAAGAAAATACGATGCCACAGCATTATTTATCAATATACTTACAGGCTCGGGTTTTAACAAACTTGATTAAATCACTAAAGTGCTCTAGTAGTAGTTCTTCCTGCAAGGAGAGAGGTAAAAACTTAAAACAAAATAAGCAAATCAAAGCTAAATATACCGAAAGGACAGAAAGGACAGAAGACTCTATACAACCCAGATTGCATTATTTGTCCCGTTCTCCTTATACTGAGTAGTGTGCTGGTAATAGATCGCAATTTTGGCACTCCTTATTTAGCAAGCTGTACTCCGAATTGAATATTTAACAATTCTTTGTGCACTCACAGGTAGAGGTGCAGGACAAGTGTTAAAATCACTAGCCTAAAACCAAAATCATGACCACAACTAATTAACTTGTCCCCTTAAAGCATATAGTCAAGGAAAGACTGCTGCAAATCATCAACCCGCCCAGTCCAAGTTATGCCAAAATCAATGACAACTATAATTTTCATAACTAAACAAGTCAAGCCAATGGTTGAAAGGAGATGGCGTCAGTCTTCCTATCAATGGAAAGAGGACAATCACTAAATAAGCACATTTGACTTTTTAATCAACCTAATTCTTTTAGTTCATATGATTCCATTTATGTTCTTTTTAAAAGCTTATAAAGAATATAAAAGCAGACTGAAAAACAATATCAGAAATGAATTAGGAAAGCATAAAATGTTTAGCTGAAATCTGAACTTCATTTGCAGAATTCCAAGATTAACAAGCACTCTGCAGTTTTCACCAAAACATTTTCTGGAAGACAGGTAGCAGGACCAGGCACTTACAACAAATAACGCTGTGTTGCTTTTGAGAAGTTCCTCAAAGTGCATTTGAATTTTACCACCTTCTGGATCAGCCTCCTATATTCAAATGCCAAAAATTGCAAAATATACGACTGAGCATATCCAAGAAATTTAGCCATTCCCTTAAATTTCACCTTAGTGCTGATAAAGATCATTAATGTTTTTTTTTCTTTCAATTTTTTCAAAAGAAACAAGAAACTGATTTTACCTTCAATACAGCAATCGTCATATCATAGTTGTTTATCAGAAACACGGTTTGTAGCTTTGCCCTTGGAAATGATTTAGCAAGCTTGATAAGCAAGTCGTCAATAGCCATTCTCAGTCGTTCCAAATTTAATTCAAGCTGCACATCATGGAAGGATATTTAAGTCCATTAAGTGATCAAGAATCTTAATGAGCAAAAAGTTTTTTTAAGTTTCTATATCTAACCTGCCCATCTCCATATTCCACATTCAGGTGGATAAGTGAAGCTGTGAATTCAGCATAACGCCTCATGACGTAGTGAGGATGAACATCATCTTCCCACAATGTCTTTACATTTGCAGTACGCAAGCTGTTTAAATGCAGGTCAAACACCATCTTAAAACGAGGCCATAGAGCGATATTGACCTGTTAATATTTCAAAATCAGACTGCATTGTATTTTCATGTGTTTATGGTATAAAAGACCAAGACAAACTGCAACAAGCTTTGAATATGATCCATTTTGCAAAAACATAAACCAAAAGTACCCTAGATAAAAATCAAAAGTTCCATCAGAATTTATTTCCCCAGTTAAAATTCCAGTCAACAGTTACATATCATCAATTGTCTACGAATACAAGAAAATACATGCAGATAATAAGATAAGCAAACAGACAATCACCTTGTCCAAGTATGAATCCAAGCATGGAATACGCCGCCGAGACATAATAAGCTGCAAAGGATTTTAAAAATAAAATATCAGTAATAGATTATCTTCTAGCAAAGGCACCATATGACACAAGTTGACGGTATCATTAAAATGATAACTGTCTAACGCTTGCCGTGCAACATCTACAGCCAAGTGACATGTGCCACACAGTACATGCACAAGAGGACACTATCATGGGTCTATCTTAAGAATTAATAACAATCACATCAGAAAGAAACCAAGAGAAATAGAAGAGAAACTGAAAATCCAAACTACTTATAAAAAATAATAGCAAATCTCAAACTATATAAGCAATGGGCAAGAAGTCGATTTCTATTGTACATATCAAAACAAAACAAAACAAAACAAAAACTGATCAGCCTCATAATTAGACGAGAGAACAATCTAATTGGTAGCTGTCTTCCAATCTGACAAAATGGAAAATAATTTAATGCTCTCAGAAAACTAATTAGATTCAAGTATTCAACTTGATACGAAAGTCATAGTAAATGTTCTCCCCAAAAACATTTGAGTTCTGTCTTTTAGATCTGCTGCAAGAATAAATACATAATCATATATTGTAAAGTCCCCTTCTTAAATGGGATCTCACCCTTGTTGTTCGAACAGCCAGCCTAAAGGCGTGGCAAATATGACTAAAACGGTTCTGTTTAGGGCTTAGGATACATTTCCACTACTACCAGTGGTATTGAAATAACATTGCACTGACATGATATCGGCATGGTTGACATTAATTTTGGAACCCATGTGATTCTTTTGAATATGCTTCTAACTTAGAATCCTCATTAAAAATTGTCACTGCAGAGCAGGATATGCATGTCACACAATATGGAGGTCATGAAACTGTTGACTAGAACATGAGTGAATTGAATACATAAAATATAATCTTAGACGACTGGAATGCTACCTGGTGCTGGTGTATTATACGAATCATAAGCATCACACCAATAGCATCATAACAATTTGGAAGTATTGAGTTGAAGTGTTCATCAATTACAGAAAATGGGCCTGGCATAAAAAAGCATTCAGGAAGTCATCAAAATGAGCCATTTGTTTTTCTTCAAAACAAAGCACAATGAGAATCTTCAAAAGAGCAAAAGTGACCATCAGAATCTAACAGTCACCAGTAGAATGCCGTAAAAATTTGCTGCGGACCACAGAAATGAACTTTCTGCTCTTTGTATTTGCAATAAGTATGCAATTAGGAATAAGTTAACCATAAGCTAATGGATCATATAAAAAAAATGTCAGATTTACCCGCAAAAATGTCATAAAATATGGACTCTTCACCAAAGAAATCATCACAGAAATGATACCTGCAGGTAAGAGGGGGAAATTGTGAAAACAAGTTTCCATATGGTCAATCTTTCACTAGAGTCTAGAAAACAATATCAAGGAGCAGAGCAAACTCTATTACTCGGAAGTAGCAGTATCCATAAGCAGCTTGTGCAAGCTCCTGAAGAGGACCTCGTACGGATACTTCATGGAGCTTGCTTCAGCTATATGTGGAATCAATGCAGGTTCCTCAATTTCCTGATAAAAAGAAAATTTTCAAAAATGACATGTTACAAGATAAATAAACAAGATGCCATTATGAGAAAACCAACACTAGTTTCCCATTAGTAAAGCATTTTCTATTACATTTATACTAAATCAATGATCTAAAAGTGGTGTTTAAGACAAAGTATAACAATCCTTATAGAAATGTTTTCTTTACATTTAGACAGTTGATTTTAGAAAGGAAAACCTCCAAGATGATATAACAACCAGAACCAGAAAAACAATTAATATCAAATTCCAAGCAGTCAAAAGCTATAAAAGATATGCTCATTCGAAGCTCCCAACAAATTCCTATCTCAAAGACATTCAATATCAATAGTACCCCAAGGCCCAAACAATTTAAAGATGAAGGTATCCTCAATTTCATTATGACAACAGATTTCAACATAGCAGAGCACCTCTTTTGCTTCCCTCCCACCTTGCACTTCTTTTTTTCAATATAGCAGGCTGTTCTAATATCTAATGTTTCATCAAAAAGTGAGTAGTAGCAAAATTCATCCAAAACGTTCAGCATTATAAATTACAATGCCATTATGGTTGGAGATAGTTTTACCACAGGCACCAATAAAAATTTGATTAACAGATAAGTTACAGAGACAACCTTTAAAATTTTTCTCCTCTCTCCAAGAGCAAAGACAGCAGACCGGTTCTTCAGTGGTTCCCTTCCTCTTGAAAAGAGACTAGTGTTTCTTGTCTCAACACCAATTAAATCACTAGATGTTGCAATATCCAACTGTAGTTTCTCGAGTGCCTGAATATAAGCGCGGAAATGTGCACTTAGGACCTGCAAAAACATATAACTTAACTTCAATATACTATATGGTTTATCCTTTATTATTATTATTTTTTTGGTTCTTTTTATCAATGAGGGAAGGGGCATTCGAACCTTGGGACCTCTTCCTTTGGGAAGACAAGTTCCAATGGACTATATGAATTACCCTCATTTTAACAATAATATGCCTAGATAAATTGTCCTACTCCTCTATGAAGGCTACAATAATTGTTAAAAATGAGGTACTTCCTTAGTGCAAGGAATTAAGGGTTTAGGCAACTTTCATGGTGTTTTCAACCAGCTTGTTTATCAACCTTAGAATGATACAGGAAGGGCCAATTCTGTATCTTAACTAACAGTGGGAAAAGACCTTAAACAGTTTATAAAAAGGTAATGTATAAGCATGCAGAAGCAGAACAAAACAAAATATCAGGTTTGAAGTCCGCAAAGGCACTAAGGAACTACTTTGAAGTATCTACAGTGCATTATCTCTATGTCAAAGCCAGATGTTCTAACATTATATCTATCAACTAAGGATGTAGTTTGTGTTCGCTATTTAGGAAAGATCTACAAGAGAGTTTGTTCTCTAATAAGTTCTCTCACAATTATTTGGATGCAGATTCCATCAGTCAACATCCAAACAAACAAATCTGTCTTCTTGCTAGGAGGTGCAAAAACAATAAGTTCACAGTAAACGGATCTTTAGTTGGAGGCATGCATGATTCAGTTGCATATTCTTTCTAAATTTCACATATGGTTAATTTAATATAGCTAATATTATCCTCTCATTTAGTGGGAGGCTAAAATCCAACATTCAAGGTTACAAAGTTTTTATTTTGTACTTGGTTAATTATATGCAAAACCAAAAAAGATGAGAAATCCTGAGAATATTTTGTTTTCTTATCATTCTTCAGTATTTTTCATATCCTTGCTGAGTGTACACTTTTTTGTAATTTCCAAGGGCCATACTAATGCTTTCTTGGTTAGTCTCTAGCTTTCTGCACATAGTTTTGCTTTTGAGTATTTTGCCCTGGTTACCTAGTTTCCAGTCCCTTAACCCTACTTTTACCTAACACATACTTCCCTCCATTCTCCCACACCTTCCTTTGGATTGCACATCATGGTACTGAGTTTCACAGGGCTGCTAAGTGTCAAGGGATATTATCTATCAAACTCTAACCAGAATGAGTTCCACATCCCATGTAAGTAGTTTATTGGAATTTTTGTCCAATGAATTAAAGAAAGAAAGGCAATGAGTAAATGTTGAATGAAGCAATGAGAAAGGTCTTTTAATATTTCTTGGCTTCCACTTTTAAAAAGAAAATTTTAAGGTATATAAAGCTTGTAACCAGTACCCAAACAAAAATAAATAAAAAGTGAATAAAGCTTTTTTGATGAAGCAAGATAGAACCTGCAAGTAAAAGGCTCTAAAGCTTGTAACCAGTGCCCACCCTAGCACTAGGGCTTTTCTATTAACAAAGTATTATAAATTAATAAAATACAAGAGTAAATATCACCTAATCCATAAATGAGCTAAATCAGAACAGAAGAAAACAGAGAGCATTTTACACTAAATGTACAAGGAGCATGTGACGCTGCCTATTTATATATGGTAATAGCAATATTCCAGTTCTATATCAAAATTCAAAGATAGGTCATCAGTTTTACAGTGTTGACCTTGTTCATTGTGTCAATGTATGCTCCACGAACCTCAATATATACCTCCTTGCCATGTTCCTTCAGGAAGGATACAACATACCTACATTGCCACACTGGAATCAATTAAATAAATAAACAAAAGAACCAAACACAAAAACACAAAACCACAGCAGTAAGCATGGGTGTAACTGCTAGAGTCTGAAAATAATATCTATACACATCTCGTGGAAAAAAAAAGTTGAAGAGATGTGCATCTAATAGATGCATGTACCCCAAATTAATGGCACTGGCACCCTAAACTAACTCGATGTTTAGTTAGTGGCATAAATTACAATACAAGACTGAATGCTATATTTATATAAGAAACAATGTGATCATTGAGCTTTTTCTCTTAACAGCTCAAGGATGGCTACAGTCTACAATCATTTAGCACTACACATGATCCAGGAAGACGGGTGCACATAAAAGCGACACTTCAAATGTATGATTCAGTTTCTCCTACTCTCAAATACATAAGACAATCAAATAGTTTCAGAGATCCATGGTCAATTTTCTCAAACCATAAAACTCATAAGTTAATTAGATTGTTTCCCATAAACACCTTTTTCTTGCCAAATAACAATATTTTTTTATACAAACAATAATCTACTTTAATCTAATCTAAACTACAGGAAGGGGGATTCCAACTTGGCTAAGCCCATGTCTGCGCCAAATAACATAGTTGTGGATAAAAGAAATAATAAGCAACACAACTTTTTCCCAAGAAAATCCTCTAATAGCCTGTCTAAATAGACTTCAAATCCTGAACTGTTGCTGCTACCCTGAATTTCTGCAACAGGGCTATATTGGCTCAGTGATCCGAATCCAACTTCAATTTGACTCATTTAAGTTTTAACTACCACACAAAGCAGATCCATCCCATTAATTGGATGGAAATCAAGATCAGCTATATTCCATCTGATTAAGATGGAGATCCAATTCTAAGTTCTAATCATCACAAACTTATATTTGTTTAGTAAACAAAAAATGAATGCATTTCAAATTATGTATATAGTTCTAAACCTGTGCTAGGTTAGACAGCAAGCAACTTCCTAGTCAGATGTGAAACATAAGACATACACACTCCAGTGGACCACTTTTAAATCAATCTCGCATACACTCCAATTATTGACGCACAGCTAAGGTAATGGATGAATTTGTATGGAAAAGACCCAACACAAATTATTGTCAATCATTTGCCTAAAATGTGGACTATGCATATTATGATATTAATGAAAACCATTTACAGAAAATTGAGAATGCTATTCAGACTACTCACTTGTACTTCAAAAGAACATTCTGTTGAAGGATCTGGATATTTGTTTTTGGTTTTCTCAACGCATAAAGCTTCTGAACAACGAAGTCAAACACCTGCAAAAAGATATATACAGACAGAAGTACTTTATTAAATATTCAATGGTTCAAAGCTAGTTCTAACAAAAAAAAGACGGAGTTTTAAGACTTCGCAATTTATTAAAATCACATAAGAAATCAACATTATTCAAGACACTGTTACTTAAGACAATACCAACAAAGATGAGTATCTTCTCTTTTAAAAGCACAATAGTCAGTATCTGCTGTATGTTATCAGTATGTCTGGACTGGACAAACCCACGAACTAAGCAGATACATTTTCAGCATACAGTCTGTCAGTACTATGACAGTAATTTTGTTATTTTCCTCTGTCCAGATGTTAACAATTAATAACTAAGTGACAAGCAATGACTTGTATACATCCTATATTTCTATGAATATCCTGGAATGCAATATGGGTTAAACTTAAAAACCTTGAAACAAAACCTAGTGGCCCTGAGACTACGAAATCCCTCCATTAAAATAGTTACAAGTTAGTAGACAAACTACTTATTTACAGATTCCTATCCATATAGAAGTGGCAAACTCACATGTGCAAATGTTTAACTGACTAGGATTACCTTTTTTTGTCCCAGAACCACCAGATTTTACTCCTATATAGCATATGTTAAAGGGCATTTACTGCACTGCTGGCATAGATCAGGTATGATGTACGATATGAAAACATGCAACAAGCAATTAGGTGATCAACATCATCAAGTTTAAGTGGCAACTTTAATAACAACCTTGGAAACTGCTTTCTGTCGAAGTTTTTCAAGCTCGGGCTGAACATCTTTTAGAGCTTTTGAAGTTTTAACCATAAGATCCACTTCTACGAACTTCAGCTTCTTACTAAGAATCTCTAAAGTTCTCATATATTCATCATTCACCTGGATAAAAATTACACATTGAACATGTTAACAACAATGGGAGAAAGAGAAAACAAAATATAATATAAATTCAATAAGCCAACTAGAGAGCAACATATTACTGGCCATTAAGTTTCACTTAAGAACATATGATACAGCTGAGATTCTGATAAAACATTCTTATCTAAAAAATTATAACGGAACTTCTTATCAAATGCAAAAGAAACAACCAAACTTAACCATGGAAAAAAGAGGAAATACAACAAAAGAAATTATATGTAATTAAAATTGTAACAACTTAAATATATTTTTTCTAGTCAAGCCAATATAATGAATTAAAAAGTGAACTAGTAAGGCATCTTCTTCTTCTTTTTTCTGAAAACAAGTGTTTCAACTTCATCTGACAAGAAACAACTCATCTTGCAAAATCAGAACATTATAAAAAATGAATTCAATTTGGGTTGATTCATGTAACTAGTACTGTGCGCTGGTTCTAAGTCCAAATTTATAGAACCAACATCAATAACATTGCTAAAGTGATGGTTAATGATAGAAGGAAAAAAAAAATTACAAATCACATTTACAAGGAGAAATGAAGTACTAAAAAGAAAAGGATAAAGATATACCTCGCCATCGACAATTATGTCTACCATCTTTGGAGGGACTATAATGTCTTCAACAAACTTTGCCAATTTTGACTCTGTCATCTGTTAAATTAACATAAACTGATCATTACAAGTAAAATGGATAAGAATTGTTTTCTATAAAAGAACCAAGAACTTTTATGCATAAGAATCAGAAGAAATATTTTTTAAATGCGTCTTCATACGCATAATGCAATAGAAAGCCAAGGAGCCTAATGGACTTGGAAACTAGATCACATTTCTGTCGTCAAAGTCGTTGCAAATGCTGGAATTAGCAATGATTGACAATGAAACAGATTTCAAAAGCCCTTGGAAATCCTTAATGTTGTTCATTTCACTAAAACCCAAAATGAAATAGTTATAGTTAATTAAGCATGCTGTCATGGCATGCTATATTGTAACAGAAGTGTAAATAACAATAAGGACGAAGATAAGAAAGAGTGGAGTGTGGGATAAAGCAGTAAACCATAGGGAAAAAACAAAGAGTTATCAGGTCATCATACTACATAAGGATGAAGATACCAAATGTTACCTTGCGATTCTTCAGCTTTAAACCCATATCCATAGACTTCTCCTGGAGAATTTTGATGTCTGAACTTATTGAACCAATCTCTGCCTGGACAACAATTCTTGAAGTATTAATGGCATTTATATTTTATAGATAGGCACAATCTGAAAACGGAACATTCCATTTGAAGTGGGCAAGAAATCCCCTCACAATTCTACGGTTTTGTTGTATCTATTTTAGATAGAGTGTGGTTGCAGGTTTTGTGCATCGTTTAGACATGTACTCCTTGTTCTCTATTCTTGCACTTTGTTTTAAAATAAATGAAAGTTCTTGTTTCGTTAAAAAAATAATAAAAAATAAAATAAAAGAAAGAAAGAAAAGCCCGATGCAAGAAACTGGAATTAACAAACCAAAGTAAAAGAAACTAGGAAACAGAATGAATATCATTTGGAAGCATCTATTTGGAGTTTATGTGCTTTTTAGTTGTATCACAGCTGAAATGATACTAGTATTGTTTCTCGAACACAGTTATGGGACCAAATTAAATTCAGAAACCGTAAGTTACTTCAAAATAAATACATACTCTATTGATCCAAAAAAAATTGGGGAAATAAACAAGTACAAGTGGTTATGTAGGTATCTGAGGTAAACTAGTTTGTTATGGCATAAGGTGATTAGAAGTAAAAGCACGTAAATTGTGATGATGATGAAACAACAAAGCAAGGACTAATATACCTGAAATCCACTGAGAAGAGTTTCCATCTGTGACAAGATGCTGTCACAATCACGAATTTGATCATGAAGAGAAACTAGATTATCACTTTCTTTAATATAATCCTGCAGTAATGAAGAAGCAAGATCCCTAACCATCAAACTTATGATTCCCAGAACCCTTGCCATTATCTATATAAAATTAATGCTGGAAACGAGAAGTAATTATTAAACAAGACGTATTGAGAATGCTATAGATCCTTTTTTCCAATCTCTATCATAAAACAATCAGCTTTACATAGACCACTACAGGTACAGCATCCAAGAAAATATTCCAGTGTAGAAAAAATAGTACATCTTGAAAGCATAGAACTCGTAACAACCAAAGAGAACAGTTAAATACTGCAATCACAGAGCTCAAGGCAGTACATTTTCAACAGGAAGAATACAAACATTATTTTAAGTTTTGCACAATAAGCACACAAAAAGGGCTACTCAAGTAAAAAAATCCTAATTATCACAAAATAAAAACTTCAAAAGATGTGCTTTTACAAGTATAGATCTTTGAGACATGAAACAAAGAACTAGAGCACAAGAAAGGTAAAGAGGCTCTCATTGATGAAGAATCTAACCTGAATCGAGTCCAATTCAACTTGCCGTATGTTGTTCTCAACCCCCTTTGTATACTCCCGAAGTTTCGTACCTTTAGACAATATGTTCGCAACTACCTAAAATAGATGATAGATAGTAGAAAGAGTATTGTATTTCAGTGATGGCCTCTAGAAGATATATCCAAAACTACACAAATTAGATGATAGATGGGAATATATTAATGTATTTGAGTAATTCTTTCACAAGTTAGCAAACTTATAGGCCTAAAATATTAACGTCTCATTGGTTATTGCAATTATCACCCATTTTAAGGAACTCCTGAAACCCAAATCTCACTTCATGACATCCCAGCATTGTCAAAACAAAGCCATGGGAAACCCATCGGGCCACAGAGCCTTCTTACTAAGTAGAAAAACGGCCCTCTTCACCTCCTCATCAGAAGAGCTCTCCAATTTGCCTTTCCCTCACTAATTGGACTTCATTCAATAAATAAATAAATAAATCTTGAATAGAAATATTTTATTTCATGATTTATGGAGATCATGGAATAAAAGTATATCACATTGAATTTGGGTACTGTCATTTAAAAAGGGGACGAATTCTATATATCAATCTCTATTATGTTTCTCCTTTGTACCATGCAACCAATAATGAATTTTAGCACATTTGAAGAACAAACTTCTTTCAGGACTAGTATTTTCAAAACCTCAAAGCAAAGAGAAGAGCCTTTCTTTCTTAGCACAACAAACCAAAAACCAATCAAAAGAAAAACGACATGACCAAGAATTGAAGTATTAAAGAGGATAGAACTTAAACATACTACTTACATCATCATTTTTACATTCTTCCAGTTCTTGTTGTAGTCCTTCTAACGATATATCATCACTGGGATGAAGAAAAAGTTACACTGGAATCACTTGCCAAGATGATAATTCAGACTAATGCAATGCTAGAAAACTTATTCTATTTTCCATCAACATATTCAGCATACCATGTTGAGTTGCACAAGAATTTGAAGTATGCAATTTAATTCGCATCTGCATACATCCCCTCCTAATATCCATACACAAGTTATAGAAATACACAATTGCTGTGCAGGCTTCTTTATCACAGAAAATGAAAACACAGCTCTGCCTACATGCATATTGTGCAGGGCGTACACCACCACATGATTGTCTATGTCATGGTGATATTTTTCTTCTTCTTTTCTTTTTTCCCTTTTTTTATATTATAAAATGTAGAAATGAGAAAGAAACATACCTGCTTGCATCCTCCTCAACAGTCAAGTCCCCAACAAACGCACCCAAATCAAAAACCATTTTCTGAGCATCATTATTCTCATCATAAGAGTGACCCTGAAAGCAGCCACCAGAGTATTGAATGATTTAACAAGTACACAACCTGCCAAGTTGTACTTAACACAATACTTAAATTCGGAAGCAGATCCTAGGCTCTTGTTTCATTATATTGACCAAGGTTACCTCTTTATTGGTTGCAACATGAGCCATGTTGATCAACAGTTTCAAGTGGCTGGCAGATCCAGATCCACCACCTACACCGAAAATTCAATGTGATCCTTGGAATCAGTGGAGACACCAAGATTTCAAATTGAACCTGCATAATCTTTTTTTTTCCCCTAAATTCAACAATATCATCGAAATTTTGGCGGAGTCTTGTTTGTTTATTTAGGATTTCACAGTTCACAGGTCCATTGGGCACCGAATAAAGATGAAATTGAAAAATTATCAACGCATTTCACAACCCATACCCAATGTCAACGAAATCCCCAAATATGACAGCTCTAATTTCAACAAAATCGCCAAATCACAGCCCTAATTTCAACTTTAAGCAAAACCTCAATCATCAGAACCAAGCCTTTTTTATTAGTTGAATAAAAGACTGGAGCTAGAGGAGAAGAGCACCTGGGAGATTGTGCTAATTGAAAAGGTCCATGTACATTCGCAGGTCGACTCGCAAGCAGCAGGAGAGGAGAGAAGAGAAGAGAAGTGTTTTTTAACGTAGTACGGGATAGATAGGTTTTTTTTTTTTTTTTTTTTTTGTTGTGATTTTTTTTTTTTTTTTATTTTCAGTTTTCCGCCCTCTTTTTTTTTATTTTTTTTCCTGTTTTTTGGTTATTTGTTTAGGGATTGATCCAAGAACCTTACCTGTAAATACTCCAAACCACTACAGTAATGGTCTTTTACAATCCGCAGTTCTTTTACAATCCATTTTTGCATAATCATAGTCATAATCATATTTGCTTTGTATTTGTAAAATCATAGTTATTCTTATGGACACGTGTAAAAAGGATAGTGATGATACACTTTGAGTTACAATAGTGGGCAAAAATGTTTCCTTACATAAAATGAAAAAACAACATGAAAGGAAATACATGTTTGATTTTTAACAAACATAGGATATATACAAGATACTTTTGTAACATGCTAAATTGCCAATGCACCCACAACAAAGCTGCACCACACCCAAATACATGTTCTTTTTTTGTCTTTAAACTGGGCCTTTCTCACAAGGAGTTTGTAGTTCAAGTAGTTAAGAGCATTCACCCCTACATTCGAATACTTAGGTTTGATTTCCGCCTCTCTCAATATTGCTTTGTATAAAAATAAAAATAAAAACAAAAACATGGGCCTTTTTCCTTTCCACTTTTGCTCTGTTGTGGCAGTTGTCTCATTTGTATTCCTTTTGTCAACTGGAGCCCTACTAAATGCATATGTAAAGTTAGATGTACATGTACAACTTTTTTAGCATTTTTCACCCAAATGGAGATTTTCCATATCCAAATGGATAGCCATTGGAACTTGTGGTATAAAAACCCTACATCTCTGGTGGGTTTACTTCTCCGCCCACTGGAGACACTCTTACCCCAACTAGCTCTTGGCATTTCTCTTTCAATGTTGGCAGAAAATCTTAAGCTCTTGATTGAACTTTTTGTCATTTTTGAACTGTCATTATATAGAAGAGTAGCTTACAATACAGAAGCATTGACTGGTGGAGTTGTTTTAGGACCTCTCCTCTCCTCCTCTGCCTCTGTCCTGGCGGCAAATCCACATATCAAACAAGAAGATGGTTCCAAAGAAACAGAGTGAAAATAACTTTTATCTTTTTTAATTTTACAATAATTGATTAAAAAAAGAAAGAAAAAAAATAAAAAAAACAATTTGTTACCAGACAAAACGAAACGGGAAAATGATGATGCTTTTCAACAGGAAGCCAAGCGGAGCCTCTCCTTCATCTTCTCCAGTCATGGCTTCATTCTCGGCTCTCTTCCAACCCCAACTCCACCCCTTCCCTAACCCTAATCTCATCCACATGTACACCATTCCTCTGCGCACCCAAACCCTAACCACTTCCTCCGTCCCTCACTCAACCCCCAACTCCGAGACCAACCAAACTTCATCCCCCTCCTCGGCCCCGCCTCCTCAATCTCCAGAACCTCCTTCTCCTAAGAAGTCCTTCGCTGTGGCCACGGGCGAGCTCTTCTTGGGTTTGGCGTCTAGGATTATCAAGCGGCCCAATGGAGGCCCAGACGGCAAGGCGGCCTCGTCGGTCGCCATGTTTGAGAGCTCTGGGAAGAATTACTTGGACGAGAGAATTGGCAAGGTGATGGAGGATGATATTGAGCCAGATGTTGTTTGGGAGCAGCGCGTTAAGGATGTGGAGGCTGAGAAAGAACGGCGTGTGGTTACTAGTCCCGGCTTTAGTTTTTCTGCTGCGGGGCTTCTTTTTCCTTATCATCTAGGCGCTGCTCAGTTCCTTATTCAAAATGGTTATATCAAGGTCAGCCGTTTCTCAATTGTTTTTCTTTCCAATTTAATGTTCCCTTTTCAGTTATACCTATTTGTATGTTACTCACTTTAATAAAAGGAAGATTTCAATTTGTATATGTGTTGATGTGTATGTTTATGTATTGCATGCACGTAGTTTTGAGTGAACATTTTTAAGACTCTAAATTGATACTTACAGTTCAAATTTTGGGTTATGATTTGTGTTCTCAAGCTGTGTGCTTTGTTGCCCAAGACTGAATTTGGTATGTAATTGGAATTAGGGTGTCTGAGTTTTATTGAGAATTTGGTAGGAAGATATAGATATTTACATGACACATATATAGTTGCCAATGTTCATTGATGCGAGAAGGATACATTTGTTACTTGTTCAATGAGGGGTCGAAGAAGCATATTTGATTTACTACAAATAAAGGACCCTTGTTTGTGCTTGCTAAATTTAAAGGTAACTTTGATTCTTTTGTAATATTGGATTGAGGTAAGTTTTATTGGGTTTGGAGTGGTTGCTTTGGTTGCATATGCACTAATTGTGGTAATGAATCGTAAAAGTTTGCTTCTTTTATGGTTGTTTCGTATTTTCCAAATATTCCGTTTGTCTTTTGCTTGCCTTTTAGTTGCCTGTTATTCCCTTATGAAGGTGAACAGTCATTATCTTTGGTTCTAGGTATGTATTCAGAAGTAGAATGTGTGTGATTTGTGCAGGAAACCACACCATTAGCCGGTTCCTCTGCAGGTGCCATTGTCTGTGCTGTGATTGCCTCTGGAGCCAGCATGGAAGAGGCCTTACAAGCTACCAAAATACTGGCTGAAGATTGCCGGAACAGAGGGACTGCATTTCGACTTGGGGTATTTCTTTATCAACTCAGCAGTAGTGCATTTTCTTCAGTTGCAGACTTGTGATGCTTCTCGATCAAGTAAATTTAATTTCTTTATTTTTGAGGGTATCAGTGAACTTAAAGAAAAGATTATCCCTAATTGCAGCTATATGTCAGTAGCTCATCGTGATAATCTTGATGATGAAGTTCATTGATTTCATTTTCCTGAATTCATATTGAGATTAAGCATCCAGTTCATACTTTCATTGCCATTTGAAGGATGAGTCATTGCACTTACATATGTTGTGTCTTACTAAGTTACTATGGATGGGCCCCCTAGCACATATATACACCAAGACTTATATAATTAACAAATCATGCCAGATTAATAGTTTCATAACCACGTCATGGTTTAAGATTTGAAGAAAAACCCTTAATCATCAACATAGTTAAAGTGTATACTGGCTGGAGTTTTAGTTTTACATTGATGCCATTCATTTGTATATTAACGTTAACCATGTGAAATTAATTTAAGAAATCTTGGAATAGAGGAAAGGGGGAAATTGCAATTTGAATCAATGTTGACTTATAAACGTTTTGGGGTTATTATTTTATTTTTTTCATTATTCTGGCAGAACATTATTGTTATATTGCCTATGTACATATATGTCTGGTAATCGGATCTTATTTTGGAATATAGATCTTTCCCTCTTGTTCTATTTATTCTCCTCTCTCTTTCTATTTCTTCCATCTCTTTTCTCTCATTTTCTCCATTTTTCTTTGTTGAAATATTTATGTTTACAGTCTCAGACTGACTCTGATTGAGGAGTTGACTTCCTTATTTGTCTTATTGTTGATTGATTTACTCAATTCCTTAAAACTTAGGATAATTTGTACTGCAGAATTTGTGTCTTGGAGTTCTATATGAACACCTATGAACTGTAGTCACTAGTAATGCAATACAATTATTTTCTACCCTTATATTGTAAGTTGTATTTCAACATTCTTCTATTTCTTTCTGTTTATCATCTTCTTTAATTTTCCCTGTCATGCATTTAGAATACCCAATTTTTATTTGTATAGGCTGTTCTCCGAGATGTTCTTCAAAAGTTTTTGCCCGATGATGCTCATATTAGGTCTAATGGGAGGGTTCGAGGTAAGTGGTTTTTTTGTTCCTTACTCAAAAAGAATGTTTTCTAATTGAGAAATGTATGGATTTTTTATTTATTTTTCTTCTTTAGAGTTTGGTTTAATTTTTCAAGTCCATATGCAATAAACATTGTTTGTGTAGATGAATAGACAACTTGTAAGTACATGTATTCAGATGTGTATCAATGGGGATCTTTCAAATGTGTGACTATTTGGTGCTGCTTATGATTGGGTAGGATCGGTTCCTGTGATGTTTGGGTAGCATCAGTCCTGTGATCTTTTGCTTGTGGAAAAAGTAGGTATGTTTTTTTTTCAAATTGTTGGAATTTGACCTAACACTTTTGAGGTGTTTGAACCGTGGATGTCCTGTCCTATTGAGTTACCACAAATACAAGTGGCTGCCATCTCTCTTCACCCGCTAAGTCCAAACAAGAACATAAGTGATCCAAAAAACAGCAATGAATCAAGATATTTTCTTGCACTCCCACCACCCACCCTTCTCTTCCTAAAACTGTAAAATCTTACTTTACCGCCTAACATGAACATTTTGCCCCAAAGTTTGTGTAATGACTGACAGATGTAAGGAGTTTGAAAAAGGTATCTGGAGTATAGAAACCCCCCAAAGTTTCAGTTCAATATTCTCTCACAGTGAATATATCTAACTCCTCACATGTGAGCCTCTATCCTCAGCTTATATTGGAAGGTTGCAGTCTTAGGAATTTAAACCCAGGATCTCCAGCTTAGTTAGCGTGATAATATTAGTTGGTTTGCTGCCATTCGCAGTACTTGTAATAAGATGCGGGTCAATAATTATTTTATACTCTCAATTCATTCATGTTTATATTTTTTTGAATCTCATGGAAAACCTTTCTTTTATAACATATAGCGATGATCACCACTTGGTTATTTCTGTATCTTCTGAAAGAGATTCTTTTGTGTCTGCAAAAAAAAATATATATATATATATATATATATATCCCAAGCTTATAGACTTCTGGATATTTTAGCTATTGAAATTAATATTTTTTAATAAAAAGGAAAAACAGGAATTTTATGCATGTCCTTTGTATTATCAACTGGGTTTTCATTTGCATTCTGCATGCAGCTTCTTTATGATTTCCTTTTTTTTCCCCCACAGTTGCAGTAACACAGCTTCTATGGAGACCAAGGGGTTTATTGGTGGATCAGTTTGACTCTAAGGAGGATCTCATTGATGCAGTTTTTACTTCTTCCTTTATTCCAGGGTGATTATTATACATACCATTTTGTCTTGCAGTAGTTGCTTCTGTGTTGATTAATGTATGAAGTTTGAACTAAAAGTAGACTGCAGTACAGGTATCTTGCACCAAGACCAGCAACGATGTTCCGGAATCGGCTTTGCATTGATGGGGGCTTGACATTATTTATGCCACCAACATCTGCAGCACAGACGGTATTAACTGTTTCTCTTTCCTATGTCTTATTAGCTAGATAACAGGAATGTAATTCAAAACCTAAGTTATTTTAGTATTTTTTCCTACCAATGGTTTTTTACCAAATATGTTGCAACTTGTTTGAGGTTTCTGCTAATCCGGGTCCTAGTTACTCTCATGACTATGTGAAGTAAACATGCATTTTAATGGGGTTTCAAACTTTTCGTACATATTCCTGTGAAACCTCTCCCACATTTATGAGGTCATGTTGTCTATTATGCCCTCCAATTCCCGTTTCTTTGCCATTTTTTATTCTTGAATCGACTCTACTAATGTAGAAGTAAGAATATCTCTAATATTATCGTCATGTATCTTTTGTTTCCACTTCCCCTCCCCAACCCCCCAAAAAAAAATACAAATTTATAAATAAACCCAATCCTGGACATGTATTTATAAAAAAACCCCAGTACTATTTAAACATAGAAACACACCCAAAATCAACAATTGTATATTTTTTGGGTGTATTTATAAATGGATTTTGAGTGTGTGTAATGATGGATTTTGGGTGTGTTTATAAAATGTTTTGGGTGTTGGGTTTTTTTATAATTTCAGCACCCATTTTGGGTGTTTTAGTGAAACTCCCAAAAAAAAACCATGATGTTCTAGCCTCATTTACTTTGTTATCAATATATGGCAGCCTCCTATTGTTACTTTTGTGGTATGGTTATGCCTTCCTTAAATATTCTAAATTCTCAGATGAGATACTTTTGTATACCCCTAATATTGTTGCTTTGCAGGTACGTGTTTGTGCTTTCCCTGCCAGTCGATTAGGATTGCAAGGAATTGGGATCAGTCCAGACTGTAATCCTGATGATAGGGCTACCCCTCGACAGGTAAATTGGTGCCTCCGCATTTGAAAGATAACCTTTCCCTTGAGTATAAGATGACGAACTATTTGTTTCCTTCTACTTCAGCTTTTCAATTGGGCACTTGAGCCAGGAGAAGATGATGTTCTTGATCGGCTATTTGAGCTCGGATATCAAGATGCAGCTGTATGGGCTAAGGACAAGCCGGTTGGCAAAATAGTTGAAGACGACACTTCCTTGGTTGGTAGTGGCATAGATCAGTAGGCTGTCATTAGAGTCTCTCATTGACCTTGAAGATGCATTAGGTTCTTGGTTACTGTCAATTACCGAGAATCCTGTTATGTCATTTTCACATACAGGTCAGACAGACTAGCTTTCCTATAGCATATACAGCCCTTGATTATAAAAGGGTGGAACCACATTCTCTTGATATAGTATTGCAATTGTATAGCAAGCTGTAAAATTTGTTGTAAGACCGTATGTGGAATAGGGAAAAGAAAAAAAAATAAGGTCATTGAAAATGCATTTACCAATAATGATCAATTCAGATGAGGTCCAGTTTTAGAAACCTTCTATCTCCAGACTTGTTCCTTTTGGTTTTAGTTTCAATTTCATTAGGCGGTACTCGTACTTTATAAAATTCTGTGGCTGGTATTGGATTTCTTGATGGTGTCATAGATTTGGGTGTTGTTTATGATTATAATCTTTCCAATAGAGATGAATATAATCTTTGAGGTTAGGTATATAACTCACAAGAAAGAAGCTGGATCTGAGAACATTTGATTTGAAGGATATTTCTTAGTTACACAAATCAGTTCCTGGGATACAAGACCCGTTGCCTTATCCGTATTCTTAAATATAGTTGGAACAAGGAAAAGCACGGGTTATTACATGCTTGTAAATGAACTTTTCTTTTAAACTACATTGACACGAACACGACAAACAGGACTCGTTTGCCAGTAGGTCTAACGTTACCTAAGTTCACTCAAAATTACAGTATTCAATATGATCATGTAACTTTTTCCCCTTCAACTAGTGACTGCTAGTATTTCCCAAACTTTTGATGATGATCCTTAATGATCAAACCTCAGAATACGGAAAATTTGTTTAACTTTCAATTAATGAGTACGGTCCAAAACGAAATGGAACATTTGAATTTGTCTTGGTCCCACAAGCATGCATGCCCTTAAAGAAGTATTATTAGTGATCTTGATGAAACTATTTGACCCTGTTTTCAGCCATCTCTCAATCCCAAATTTCCTACCAAACCCTACTTTACCAGTACTTAATTATAAAAGTTGTATAAACATGATTCTTAATAAACACAAGTTTGAACCCATGAGTTGGTTGACCAAAGTAACTAGAACCAGAGTGGGAGACAAGGACAGCCCATTTTGCATCCTTTTTTTGCTGCAAAAGTCAAAAAAAGCATACGAGAAGCAAGCGCATGAGACCTCCATAGTAAAAATAAAGTCATACAGATACTGACTACTTTTTCACAGTGTAAGATTAAACAGAAAACACATATTTAAGCTTTGTATGGTTGCACCACAAAATAGCCTGTACAGTAAAATGAAAGGTAAAAATGAAAGGGTAGTCTTGTCATAAAGGTACAACCATAAACATCTGAGAGATCATTAAGCAAGCACTTGTTGCATTCAATTCCAATTGAAAAATAGATCCAAGGAAGAAGAAAAGAAAAGAAACGCCTACATTATGTATGTGTCCACACAGGTCATACAACACCATGCACGCTCATGCACCCACTTTCTAGAAAAAGCCAATCTCATTTCAAAAGAAGTCCTGACCAAAATATACATATACAAAAAGAGTCATTATGTAAATTCCACAACTGATCACCCTCTTATACCTATTTCTTCTTCAAAATCTCTCTCTCTCTCTCTCTCTCTCTCTCTCTCTCTCTAGGGTTTCTCAGAGGCCTTGTTGCAGAGGCAATTTGGCATTCTGTCCACCTCCATATTCACAAGTGTACATATAGAAGAAGTTTCTTTCTTTTATTTTACAAGCTCTGGAGGTGGCCAGCATGTCAAACTGGCTCTGTAAATTTCTCTCTGAGAAACTCACATAGAACACTGGAAAACCTTGGTAATATTCATGTTCAAAAACCCTTGACTTGTGTTGCTCTCGGTGTTTTTATTTTGTACTCTTCTCATGGATTTCTCCTCCCATATATTGCATGGCCCAGGTGAGTTTTGAATAAATCATAATCATTCAGCAAGTCTTCCTTTACATATACATTATTTGTTGTTGGAAAACTAGTAATCATAATGAACTCTTGAATCATATTCCTGATTCACACAGCTCTTGGCAGGTTGATCAGACTCAAGCTCCTCATCGTATACATTGTTCTGCCAAGCTCATTGATTTTTCTTATTATCAGTGTTTGTTAATTTGTTGCTTTTATAAATTAAGGCTTAGTTTAGAGTAATTAAGGTTTAGTTAGCTTACCATGTACACAAGTTTTTGGTTTGTTCTGTTGGTTTTGACAAACTTCTTTTCTTTTTCTTTTTACTTATTCGAAATATATTTTGGTAAACAACATATATTACGTGTTCTACTAGAGAATATATTAACATAATGGTCTTCTTCTACCAGATAAAAAAAAAAATGGTTCCAATTGAGAGCTATGGAGTCAAGTGTATGTCGATGGGACTTCTTGTGGCCAAGGATGCCTCACTTGTTTGGAGAGGCCCTATGGAATAATTTTTAAGTCTTTTCTTGCTTAAAGTAGTTTTTTTAATTTTATACAAAGCAATATTAAGTGGAAGGGAAGGGGAGGGGAATCGAACTAGGAAGCTCGGTATATAGATAAATGTTTTCAACCACTTGAGATACAAATCCGTTGCGTACTGTTTTTGTTTGAACGTACACCTATTGTATTAATTTTCTTGTGATTTATATCCTTTGTGCAAGTCAACCATTGACATGAAATTGGAAAAGCATAGAAATATCATTAAGTTATTTGTAGTGCGTGTATTTGTGTCTTTTTGGTAACCCTTTTTTAACTTTTCTCTGGAAGCAATGATGATGGGATGGTGGGCTTTTCATGTCGAAAGAAACATATTGATGATCTGTGTTAGACAGGTGGTCAATTTTGATTGGCTAGGAGTAGTAGGTTTGTGGTTTCACATAGGATTCCAAGAAGCATATTAATGTTCTAAAAAAGATATGCATATGGTACTACTGGAGACTACAATTTTTGGATAGGAACGTTTGCGATAGAGGTTAGAGGTTTAATTCTTTTCATATCCATGCCACATTCAAACCAGAGTACCCCCCCACTACCACCTCCTACTAATCGGTTGTATATAATCATGTGTTTATTTTTGTTTTTATTAGTTGCGTGATAAATGAGACAGACAAAGTAGTCGTATATAACCAAATTACACATCATAAGTTCTCAACCACTACTTAAAACAAAATTCCGGAGACATGTTAGTCCCTACCTTATTAAGGGTGTAACCACAAGGTCCCTACCATAGCTGCATTAGAAGCAAAATTCATACATGAACCAATACACAATTGCATTTGTAAGCTCGTTTTGTACTAGTGAAAATTATAGTCCTTGTTTCATTCAAGGCAGAGAAAAGAATAAATACTGAGCTAGTTCGAAGCAGCAAGCACAGGGATAGCGAGGCAATGCAAAAGAAGAAGCCATGGGAAGTGCCAGCTACTGTAACAGAATTGGCAATGGAGCTCAGAAACAAGAATGATGCAGGGCAAGGAGAAATTGAGTACTTCTTTCAATTTCCTTTTCAGCAAAAGGAAATACAAATCCCACACCAAAAGTTTAATTTCTACAGCTTTTATGAGAAAGAAAGATGTATGTAAGGTACACAAATTCTGGGAGGGGTTGATCAACAAAATGATATGCATAAAAAAATATTTGTTAATTATTGAAGACCTTGTAGCATGGCTTATGGTTCTATTTCCATGTTGCAGTCTCCTGGTATATCAACTGTAATCTTGAAACAAAAAACCGTAGAAAAGAATACCACCAGCATGTTTTGTTGAAGAACTAAATTATGATATAAAAAATTTAACTTGGAGAAACAGATTTCCTGTGTCTCAGCATTGCATCGCATACCTTTACAGCATCTACATTATCTCTTACATTATGTACTCTTACAATATTTGCTCCGCCCAGAACTGCAGCAGTGACAGAAGCAACAGTAGCAGGATCTCTCTCAGTTCCAGCGGTGCGACTACAAATTTCACCTAAAAATTTCTTTCTGGAAGGTCCAATCAGTATAGGTGCATGAGACATGGCCAAACTTTCGCTCCCAATCTCTGCTTGAATATTTGGTAATCCCATCAAGATGTCCAAATTGTGATTACAGTTCTTTGAAAATCCAATTCCAGGGTCAATTATCATCCTCCAAGCTGGGATGCCTATTAATTCTGCTTCTCTCACCCTCGAGTATAACTCAGAAGCAACCTGCTTACAAACATTATCATATTTCAGGTTCTCACTATTCTGCATCGTAGATGGATCCCCCCTCATGTGCATTGCTATGTAGGGAACCTTAAGGCCTGCAACAACCCTCAACATGTTAGAGTCCAACAGCCCAGCAGATACATCATTCACAATATGTGCCCCTTTGCTTACTGCTTCTGCAGCAACTTCTGAATAAAATGTATCCACAGATATAATCTTTCCCTCTGCTTCAGGCATCCCAACAACTGCCTCTAAAACAGGGATTAGTCTATCCAATTCTTGTTGAACTGAAATCCTAGAAGCCATTGGCCTCGTAGACTGTGCACCAATATCAATCATATCTGCCCCTTCTGAAATCATTGAGCGAACTTGAGAAATTGCTGCCTCCACAGACTGAAACTTTCCTCCATCGCTAAAACTATCTGGGGTCAGATTAAGGATACCCATGACTGAAGTTTTAGTTGACCAGTCCCACAAGCCTTTTCCAATGGGCAAAACCCTCTTCAGGCCTTCCTTTCCAGTGAGTGTTTCACCACCCAATTTCTCCCAGGCATCAAAAAGCCCACCAGAATGCATTGAGAAAGAATGCCAACAAGCAACTGTATCACTGTCAATAGTTGACCCCAGTAAATCCATTAGTGGGGCTATTACAAACGGTCTTTCCCAAATTCTTTCATGGGGGACTGTAAGAATCTCAGAACTGACTCTTAACTTTCCATAGAACAAAATATCCAAGTCAATTGGCCTGGGACCATACCTTATACCGTCAGTACGACCCATTTCTTTTTCAATTTTCTTCAGTGCTCCTAATAACTCATGAGGCCCAAGTTGTGTAACAGCTCTAACAGCAGAGTTGAGAAAATTAGGCTGATCAGTCACATAGGCTGGTGCTGTCTCATATAAACAACCATGTCTTGTGATGTGTATGCCTGATTTTCTCATTAACTGCAAAGCTTCATTGAAATTATGCAGTCTGTCACCCACATTGCTTCCTAAAGCAATCACTACTTCCTGATCTGGAGTATGAACTTCTACTGAGAAGTTTGGGGACGAATGTATGAAGGCAAAATATGATGCTGCATTGAACATGAAAACAAGTATAAGGAACCTAGCTCAGGTTAGTAACATCCTCTATACTTGGAAAAGTAGTGATAAAAATTCCTACATTTTGCCCCATGGACTGCTTTTGTTGCTATTATACATGATCTCTTCACCATTGAAAAAGCTATAGAACTCTCAATTTACACAACTACCACCAAACCTCTGCATGTATTTTATGACTATAGCTCACAATTTATATGTATTCGATGGGAGACTAACAAAATTTAGGGTAGAATATCAAGTCCCTTCACCCTCACATCTGACTCACATAATTTAGGGTAGCATAGATGAAGTCCAAGTGACACTTGAATGGTGCTAATCCAAACAAGATAAACAAATTAAACAAATAAATACATATGAACTATGAACAAGGTTTTGATACCGCAAAGATTTGCAGGCAATTCAGATTTTAATCCAGATGACACAGCACAAATTCAATCAATGGTTCATTCAAATTTGCAATTTTTCCTTAGCAGGCATCATATTTAACGTTTTTTTAATACCATGAATTAACATTATTATAGAATATCAAAACTGAGTGAATAGAAGGATTTACCTCGACAATACTTTGTGAAACCATCCAATTGCCTCATGGTGGGCTTGAGGTTCTTGCATATATTCATGGTTGGACTTATGAGTCGCAGATCTTCAAAGCGCAGTTGAAATTATTATTTTGGGAAAATTATACCAATGCAGCATGAACTGTTTCAATCTGCTACCTGAAAAAAAAAAAATTTGTTCAAATAATATTGAAGCAATTTCCATCTCAACTAAAAATTTGTTGCAATGTGGCACTACATATAACTCTGTCAAAAATTCTGTTGAAAATAGTCAATGTGCAAGCACATGCCTCATTTCAAAATTCAAAATACCACAAGATCAATTAAAAACAAAGCAAAGAGGAAAAGTATGCACTAATTTACCAAACTGTAAATTCATGTTGCAAGCCACACAACAAAATAACACTTACAAGACCAAAATTCCAAAACTACGTTGGAATATTCAACACTGAACTCTAACCAACTCTGTAATTCTTATCTCATAAACAAGAAGAAAGCCAAAAAAGATCCATATGAAGCCTAATCATAAACTAACATATATATAACAAACTGGGAATCATCAAACAACTATCTCAAGCCAGTGTAAGAAGCATAAAGGAGAACAATGGCGGTACCTGCTCTGCATCAGCAGTGGAGAATTTTCTTATCTTTTGGATTGAGGATGGAGTTGCTCATTTGCACATTTGGGTTCCCATGGGTTCCCAAAATCCATAAACCCCTTTATTTCTAAATCGCGAAATTAGAAAGAAATAGAGTAAAAAAAATTAAATTAAAAGGAGAAAAAAAACCCAAAAACCCAAAAACCCAAAAATACAAACACAAACTTTTTCTCTATGAACTTGATAAAACAACAGAATTTAAAGAACTCAGAGGAAATCGAAGAACTTGAGCAAATAAGACCCAAATGTGAGCTGCCTGGGGGGATACTTAAGCTGAAAAACAGTCAATATAACTCCACACACCAATAAGACTTTTGGGTTGAAAGAAAGAAGATGAGAAGCCAGAGAGAGAACATAAATGGCTTTTTGTGTCGCGGCCGTTTGTTTGTATGGCTGGCTGATGCGATATAGCAAGGGAAAGCTGAGCGTTTATTATATCATTTAGTTTTCTTTTTGAGTTCATTACAATTTAGTACCCGAGATTGCACCCTTAAAACATATTAATCCATATCTTATCAATTTTTACAATAACATACCTCAGTTTTTTAAATTTGTTACAATATAGTTCCACCATTAGAGCAGTTCCATCGATCAGCCCCGGCCAGGACAGAGGTAGGGATGGCAACCGGTCGGGTAGGAGCCGGGTATGACAATACCATCCCCGTCTCCGCGCTCCATCCCGGCCCCCGTCTCCGAACCGATCCCTGTTTAATAGGTTTTGGGGAATCTCGTCCCCGTCCCCATCGGGGGACTATCCCCCATACCCGCCCTGAATCCCCCATTTTTTTTTCATAAAAAAAATTTATTATACATTTTAACATTAAGTTTCATATTAATTTATCATCCAACACATCCAAATTAACTATAAAGTTCAACTCAACTATTCAAAATCACTTCAATATGAAATTCCAAAGAAAATCAGGGAGAATTAGGAGAGGGAGCTTAACTTAAGATTAAATATAAATATTATAATTATTTATTTATTTATTTAAATATAAACGTATATATTTTCGGGTCGGGTTCGGGGATGGGGACGCCAATACCATCCCCTCCCCATACCCGTCGGGGATTTTTCAAGTTCGGGGATCCCCATACCCGATACCCATTTGGCCCTAAAATCTCCCCCCGTTAGAGTCGGGGACTCGATAGGGACCCGTCCCTGCGGGAATTTTTGCCATCCCTAGGCAGAGGGGGCCTAAGCCCCAAAACGCGCTTCCAACAGGCCAAAGCTGCCCGGGTAGCTTGTGGGTCCTATGAAAATGGGCTGGCCTGAAGGCAAAACGAGCCTATGCTCCAGCCCGAGGGTGAGCTGACGTCATGGCTGACGCTAGCCTAACATCAGCGTGTGGGTTTAAATTTTTTTACCCTTGGCCCGTGAAAGGTAAAAAAATTTAAATTCCGTGCACTAAAGCCAGGCTAGCGTTAGCCTTTCTTTTCTACCAACGGCTAGAAGCCACGTGGCAGCCTCTGGGCTCTTCGATCCAATTTTCTCCTCCAATCCAATGACTGCCCTTTTTTTTTGCACTAAAAATATGAAAAACAATCGAGAAAATATTTTTCTATAAATACCTACCAATATTGTTTACTTTCAATACCAAATCCTCATACATTTGCTTCTCCTTCTACTATTATTCACTTTCTACACAACATTTTATTCACTTTCAAATTTCATTTTTATTCATCATCTTATAGCATCTTCCATCGAAACTGGAGGGGTATGGAGCACCATGGAAGATGTTCTGTTGTGTGAGAATTGGGTCCAAGTTGATCATTGTCCGATCACGGGCAATGAGATGAAATTCTCTCATATGTGGATAAAATTTCATGCCGAATTTTGTGAAAGATTGAGTTTGGCTCGTACGGAAATGACCTTGTTTAGTAGATTGAAAATTTTGAATAAATAGTTGGGGAAATGGAGAGATGCGTTGGCAAAAGCGAGGGACAACCATCAAAGAGGGGAAAATATTGGCAATAAGGTAAATTATTTTTAATTTCTGTTTTTATTAATTTTAATGTCCTAATTTTTTTTAAAAATGTTTCTTGCATTTCCAATATATTTTTTATGTTTCTTGCATTTCCAATATTTTTTTAATGTTTCTTGCATTTCCCTTTTTTTTAATAGATTATGCAAGCACAAATATGGTTCGGTGCCATTGGGCAAGGCAAAAAAATCTTTCAACCATGACCAATGTTGTGAGGTGGTGAAAAATTGTGAGAGATTCAGAATTATTCCAACGAGTCCGACCATTGTGTTGAACGAGACACCACTCCATGATTCAACGACATCGGATTCGCCTTTGGATTCCCTGATGAGTCATGACTCACCAATCCAAAAAGAGCCGAGGCCTATTGGTCGAAAGGTGGCAAAGGCAAAGAGTGGGAGTACTTCCATCAATGATACTGCAAAAATTTTGGAGCAAATTGCAAGGAACGGCACCATGAGAATTGAATTAGACATGGAAAAAGATGCGGACAAGAAGGCAATGAATAAAGAATATGCAAGAGAAATAGAGTATATACGCAAACAAGACATTGAGAAGAAGGATCGAGAAACCATGGCCATGGATACAAGCCATATGTCTCCCGAAACAAAACAATTTTGAAAGCTAGAACGAATGGATGTTATGAGAAGAATACTTTTCCATGACGATGGACCTAGCAACACCGATTGGTTAAATGATCACAACCCTTAAGTTAGTTTGCTTGCCTTTTTTTATTTAATTGTATTGCTTGTTTTGTATTAAAGTAGTTATCATTCTTGTCTTTTATTTCATTAGTAGTAATTCTTAATTAGTTGTATTGCTTTTGTTTGAGTGAATAAAGAAATCATTCAATAAAATACCTTCAACACATTCCATACATCAAACAAAACATAATTAAAAAAACAACCACAACCAAAGCACAATTAAAAAAAACCACAATCAAAGCATAATTAAAAATAAAACATTAGCACAAAGCAAAATTAAAAACAAAGCAGCTCAACTTCACTTCATTCACCGTTATTGCCTCTCATTGCCCATAAATGCTCCATCAAGTCAACTTGACGTCGTTCAGGAATATAAGACGATTGCATCTCCGTATATCGATCAATCATACAGTTCATGAAACAACCGTCCTTGACCAACGGTTCATGTTCCAGTGGTTGTCCATTTGGGCCCATGGGCCTTTCATAAATTCTTGTCAAAGCCGTGTTCATGGGATCCGGTTCAAACATGTCTGGAGCATCATAATCATACTCATCCTCCACAATCATGTTATGGAGCATGATGCAAGTCATCATAATACTCCTCAGCACCTCCTCATCAAACATAAGCTCAACACCCCTAATAATAGCCCACCAAGCTTGGAGGATACCAAAACACCTTTCGATATCTTTCATGTAACCTTCTTGATAGGCAGCAAATAATTTTTGCTTCTCAAATCGGGGATGCAGAATTGATTTCACAAATGTGGTCCACCTCGAGTAGATGTCGTCTGTTAGATAATACCCATTGCAGTAGATAGTATTGTTGATTTCCTATGTGATATTCGGGGCTTCACCTCTCAAGACATCATTGAAAATCGGGGATTGACCTAGCATGTTCAAGTCATTTTGAGATCCGGCAACTCTGAAGAAGGCATCCCAAACGCATTATTGAATCCAGCAACGGCTTTGAAGATGATATTTTTTTGCCCTTTCCTATTGCCATAATCTCCTTGCCAGGCAGTTGGGCAATTCTCCCTTTGCCAGTACATACAATCGATGCTTCCAATCATGCTTGGAAAACCTCGAGCTTCGGCTTTCTGTAGAGGCCTTTAGAGGTCCCTAAGTGTAGGTTTGCAGAGGTAGTCCTTGGTGTAGAGAGTTTCGATTGCATCACAGAATCTAGTCAAGCTCTCTAAAATGGTGGACTTCCCCATCCTTGCAATCTCATCCACCTGATCAGCAGATGAACCATACGCCAGCATTCGTATCACATCTGTAAGCTTTTGCTCTGGAAGAAGCCTCAAAACTCCAGTAGCATCACACTTCTGAATGAAGTATGCATTGTAATTGCAACCATCATGTATGACTTTATTGAACAAATGGAGTTGCATTCTATATCGCTCTCGAAAATCAACATTAGAGTACACAGAATTTGGGATAAAGTAATCTTCCAAACATTTCTTACCCCAAGAATGCCTATGTTTGTCCACGTTAGGGCCACGACCGACTTGTGAACCACGGTGGCGGCCTTGGCTTGGTAGATCGAGCAAACCCACTGCCATGTCAACTTTTTTATCTTCTTCTTCCTGCACTCTTTTTTCTTTAGCTCTTCTACGTCGTCTTTCTTTAATTTCTCACTCTTACCTCTCCAAGCATCCCCTCATGGCTGATATTGAGAGTAAAGTATGAAATCTGATAAATGAAAAGATAGAGAAGATCTTCTGTGAGAGGTATGAGTTGAGCCTTTGGTTTTATAGAGAGATTTAGAAGATAGAGATGACATGTGGTGCGATTTTAGAGGGTGAAAATTTTATCTGAAATCTAAGATTTGTATTTTATAATAAATATCGACATGTGGCACCCGAGAATCTGATCCTAACATCTTATCCCAAAATCTTATCTGAAAATATTCTCCAAATTAATTGTTTAGGTAATAAAATAAAATAAAATAATGAAAAGTGAATAATATTTGCCATTTGCCATGGCAATTGGTGGAAACACACATTGCTTTTTGCAAGGGCTGCCACTATTCACATGAATAACATTTGCCCTTGCCTCCCCTTGCCTATGACAAATAGGTGGAAGTGCTCTTAGGTTTCTGTCAAATCTCTTCTTTAGTTGCCTACGTGGCACTATAGGCCCACATTTTTAAAATATTTTTTAAAAAATGAATAAATATGAAATATTTACAAAATAAAACACACACACACTCACTCACTCACTCACTCACTCACTCTCTCTCTCTCTCTCTCTCTCTCTCTCTCTCTCTCTCTCTTCCTACGCTCTTCCTCTATCCGATTTCTTCTCCCCTCATTTTCCAATGACCACCACCCACAAGCTCCAACCCCCAAACAACAACAAAACCGAGTTAAGATCTAACCCTAGAAGAATTTAAAGGATTATCAAAAAGTTGAAGGACTTGAAGAGAGGGGGAAGCTCTATGAGTGTTAGAGCTTGATATTTTTCCAATTAGTTGGTTTTTGAACTTGCAGAGAGAGATAGAGAGAGATATATATATATATTTTTTAATTTTTTTGTTTGTTTTAATATTTTATTTATATTTTAATCAATTTAAAAATGTGGGACCCATAGTGCCACGTAGGCAACTAACAAAGAGATCTGACGAAAACTCTAACAATGGAATCATATTGTAACAAATTTAAAAGACCGGGGTATGTGATTGTTAAAATTGAGAAAATAAGGACTAACATGTCTTAAAGGTGTAACCACAAGGTATTAAATTGTAATTAACTATTGTAACAAATTTAAAAGACCGGAGTATGTTATTGTAAAAATTGAAAAGGTAAGGACTAACATGTTTTAAGAGTGTAACTACATGGTACTAAATTGTAATTAACCCAATATGTAATCCAATAAAAAGGAAAAGACATATAAAGAGTTAATTACATACCCCGATCTTATAAATTTGCTACAATGTGGTTCCATCATTAGTTTTCCGTCACATCTCTCCGTTAATTGTCTACATAACACTATGGGTCCTACATTTATCTTCTTTTAATTTTAAATTGATTAAAATATGAATAAAATATTAAAAAACAAATATATACATATATACAGAGAGCTTCGAGAGACCCTTGTAGGACCAACTCTGTATTGTATTTCACTAATTCAAACTATCTATTTTATAGATACTCATTCAAATATCATCTTTTAAAAAAATCATTTGAATCCGATATCATTTGACCATTCAATTAAAATTTTGAAATTTTATTACTTTCTTGAAGCACCGTGTTCATTAATTTTGTAAGACACAATTGGATATTGAAACAATTCCGATTTGTCTAATTTTTTTGCTAAGATGATCTATGAATATAGACTTAAATAATAGCTGGTTTGGATCGTTTAAAAAAAAATCGTAAGGGACCCTAAAGGGTGTCCCTCACAAAAATTCATGTAAATTGAAAATCATTAAAGCATCTAATTGTGACCAACAAAATCAGTGAACATAGTGCTTTAAGAAAGTACTTAAATTTCAATAATTTAATTGAGTAGACAAATGATATCGGATTCATTTATTAAATAGACCGACTCTAAATTGAACATTAATGCTGTTGCTAGTTTCAATTGATATACAAGAATTGTGAGTTGGGGTCTATGCATCTCAACAGCTGATGGTAGTGAAAACTACACAACAAGCTTCCCAAAATCATCGACGTCCCACACTCAATAGTCATATTACAATTCAGTCATCGCCGCCGTCACCCATGTCTGCCTCCCCGTCTCCGTCTCCGTCTCCATAGTCATTGTCATCTCCCTGTGCTTGGTCAGCATCCCCTAAATTGTAGGAACCTGGATCGTTATCCAGCTCATCATTCTGAACTTCCTCCATGGAGGATTCTTTCTTGATTGCCATGGATTCCAGATTCTCATCACTGAAAAATGAAGCATACGGCTTCGAAACCTGCATTAGAAATATACAAATCACCACAAGATGTCATATGATTGAATCACAAATTTATGAATAATATATGTCAAGTATTGGCTGGAAAGCAATTGTCCTAAAAGACGCCTTTGACATATCAAGATAAAAACAAAGTTGAAACAAGAAATTTTGTGCAGTAGACAAATTGGGAGAGAGATGTAGACTTGCGGTTAAATTCTTGACAGACCCATGTTGTAGTCGATAGTATATGATTATAGCCCCAATTTACTTCTCTTGCTTGCTTAAGAGTATAAAAGAAATCTGAAGGTTGTAATAACAACGACTCAAGCTTACTATAAGTTGCCAACTCAAAAGAATTAGCAATAGGTCAAGAGAAACTAAAAAGAAAGTGGGGAGACCCAAAAGCTCATAAAAAATTGCATGGTTTAGAATGCTTGACCAACGATGAACCCTCCTATGCTGTTGGCCTAAATCAAACATATCGTCCCTTTGAATTCCATATTCGAAGTTGCGATTGGATCTATTATTAAAAGAATTCATTCAATACATTGGTGGAACGATGGCAGATTTCGGAACTCAGAGTAACTTAATAGAATGAATGCCGATTTTAGGAGCAAAGCCTACCCAAAGGTTCAGTGCGGATTGTAGGACGTGGGTGATACGTTTTGGTATTAAAATGTGCATGAATTGTGTCTCTTGAAATCAAGTTAAAGTTCTCATGTTGAAGCATTGTTTTGTACTTTTCTTCTCTTATCATGTTAGAGTATCCGACTAAAAACTGTAATTAATAATATTGAAGATGCCCAGGATTTTTCATATTGAGATGCGAAATTTAGAATGTTTGATGTGGGATTTTGTACTCTTAACAAGAATATTCACCTTAAATACAGAGTCTCTCTTTTCAGCACTTTCCACTAGGTTATTCCAATGCTCGTCACCCTTCCTTAATGTTGATGCAGATCCCACTACCTGATACAAAAAAAGCCAATGCGTAAAATGCACATTAGATGAAATCAGTCAGTATATAAAACTTCATTCTTAACTTGAAATTATGACGAACCAAGATAGAAGATTTTGCTCTAGTGATCCCAACATTCATTCGCCGGAAATCAGCCAAAAACCCAATGGCTCCTTTCTCGCTTGCCCTGACACAAGAAAATATTGCAACATCCTTTTCACGTCCCTGAAAGAAACATTAAATATCTTCATATGCAAACTGCCAGAAGCTCAATAGTAGAGAGAGTTGTCAAAATGCTAAAATTCTTTATGTTTCACACCAGCTCCCACTGATGGTTTTTACTCCTCCTAATGAGAAAAACTTCATATCACTAGTTTAATATAACGATGAGAATCATGCAATATCCTGCATGTCAACAACTCTATACAACAAACACCAAATGAGATATTCTATATTCCATTAAAGAAACGGACCTTGAAAACTTTGGAATCATAAAAAACCTTTGACAAGAAAAAGTTAAATCACCTTATAAACAGAAAACAAATGTCTAGTATTTCAACAATTAGAAGGCTGTATCCCAAAAAAACCATGAGAAGAAAAAGCCATCCTACCTGGCAACCATCAACAGTAGTAATATCCACTACTTTCTCAGACTGCACTCCGAAAGTACTTTTGAAACGTTCTTTCAAGAGGTTTACTTGTGCAGCATAGGGTGATATAATTGCAAACTGATGACTTGATTTAAGCTCTGGATATTTACTGACCAACTTATTGTACAAGAGCATGACAAATTCTACCTCAGCATCATTAGATTTACTTCCTGAGTCCTCCGATTCTTTCGCTTCATGTAAGTCAAAAAAGCAAAAGGGTCCAAAGCAGCGATAGTCATGCCAGGAACGCTTTGTCTGCTCTTTAATATTAGGACCATCCTCCAATGACTCTGAATAAAACTCTCGAGAAGGAAAGCTCCTAATCTGCTCAGGATTTTTTTTCCATACGTTAGGTTATGAAATCTCAGCAGCAGAACCTTTTAAAATGTGAATTTAAGAAAAAAATCGTAACAAAATAAAACAGAGATAGAAAGAGTCCAAACTCAAACAATACTACAGATAATATAATTAATATGGTTATTGCTTGGGGCCCAGGGGAAGCTCACTTACATATTTCTGTCGTATTTATTCAAGACTAGATTATTACTTACTGTCACATTCAGTTTCATATGTTGTAAGAATTGTAACATCAATTCGGATATGACTGATGACTGCAACCATACAAGAGTAAAGAGTAATTTATATTTCTGCCTATAACGTGAGGTTGTGCCATTTAATGAAATAAGGCATTAGTTAAAATGTTTTCTTCTTGGTCAGAGCATAGGTGAAAAAATGATATGCTCTTCTCAAGGAGTCTTTTGACTCAAACTGTTCACCTTCTTACCCACACCAAACCCCGTTCAACCAAAACGTTATCAGCACAGAGTATAGTCTGATAAAAGAAACAGGCATGTCATCCCACTCCTGCCAACTAAGAACTTACTGTCACCCAAAACCTCTGATCCAGTTAAAGTTTCGTCTACTTCAACATTTGGGGTGACTTTGGAAGCACTGATAGATACTTCCAAGTTACAGATGTTCTGAACTCATTAATGAAGTCAATTTTCCAAAGACATCATCAGAAAAAGTGTAGTTTTGTGAAACAACTGTGTAAACCAGATCGGGGTTGCAACTCTGGTTGAGATTTAGGGATTTCTTTTCCTCCCTCTTTCTTCAGACAAATTTTCACCTTTCGCTTTTTGTTTTCGAGTTATTCTACGATTTATCTGGGAATCAGCAATAACAAGCCGATATTCGCTGATATCAGCAATACAGGGGCAGGGGGAAAAAGCATTCCTCCTTTCCGATATGTCCACAGATGAATTGCCGATATCAGCGACATTTTCCTCCATGAATGTACCATAGCTTCTTCTCTCTATAGTTCCCCAAATAATCAATTTTTCTCATTACCTGCCGCATCACCTGGCCCAATATCTTTGGCGTGTTTGGTAATGTTTATTGAGAGATGTTTGTGCTTATACTATGGAAATCACCCCAAGGGCATTTTCTGATGTATACTTGTGAAAATTAAAGCCAGGAAGAGAAACCAGATCAGGGTGCTTAGCACAAACTCAACAAAATAATATCAAGTAATTTTCAAGCTACAGATTGGCCGCTTATGAACAGTAACTATGGAAATAGCAACAGAATCACCCAAACTGGTTATTTGTTTGGGACTGGTTTTCCTAATTACTTGTACATATGTCAGTACCAGATAGTTGTTTGATATTTTTGTAATCTTCTAAACATTCCAACATCAGTGAAAAAATAAAATGAATTTTAATTATTTATAGTAGCTTTGGCAATAACAACAAAAATCCCAAACTGTACCATTGTTCAAGACTTGTTTTCCTAATTTTACATGTGTCAATAACAGAGTTATTAAATAATTTTCAGCCTTCTCCCAAAACATTTCAATATGAGTGAAAAATAAAATGAATCTTGATTCTAGTTTGTAAATCTAGTTATATATCAAATTTAGAAGTATATTATTCCATATCCGCTTCCTCGTAGTAACCATATCCTACTTCTTAGGATTGGCTTACTTGTTCATGCAGTGTCATGTTGTTGTTTGACAGGATATTGTTCCACATTCCAAAGTACCATTAACTTAATTTATATATCTAGATTTTGTTGGTTTAAAACCATTTTTAAAATCTTAAGAAATTAAGACATGGGCCCAACAACTATTTTATATGACAGTGATATGATTATGAACTGATCAATTTGTTCTGGTACCATAATGAATTCTATTGGTGTACCACGGACCAAAACCTTAAGTTATAAGAGAACATGGGGCATCAATTATTTTGTATTCTAACAATTTTCAGAAAAAGAAAAAATAAACAACGGAAGTTTCTGATCTAACCTCTGGATGCATTCGGTACTGCATCTTCAGCATGGTCACTGGATAACCAGCCCTTTGAAATCTCTCGAACAAACTCATTCCATACCTTCAAACAGAAAACACAGAGAGAGAGAGAGAGAGGAGAGAGAGAGGAGAGAGATGAGGAGAGGAGAGGAGAGAGAGAGTCAGATGTTTTGACCTACAAATCAATCAAATGACAGAAAAAAATCATAATCATCGTGGTTTACCCAAATTCAGCAGCAATTGGAGAAATTACAGTAGCTGGCAGTTGAACCGGGTCACCAATCTAAATGTTAAAAGATTCAAAATTAATCATGACTTGAAGCATAAATATTTTTTAAAGTGCAAGACCTGGTGCACAGTAGAAATAGTGGTAACACAAACTACTTGCATCAGAAATTTACCAGAAATACTTGTTTGCATCCATTTGTCAATGGAACAAGAATAGCTGGTTCCACCTATATAAAGAATACATAACATGAAGTCAACAAATTTTTATTCCAAATGACGAAACTCAACTACCTTCTATGCAAAACCAAACATAGATATGTGGAGAAATTAATTTATAGTTTATATGTAGTCTTGGAAAGGCACTTCATGGAAAGAAAAAAAACAAATAAGAAAACCAGCTATTCAACTATGGTAGTTAAATTTTTTATCTTATTTTATTTATGAGATACCAGAGTAGTTATATAATCGGTTAAAATTGAAAGATATACATAAAATTTACGCACAAAATATTTCACTCACCATCCAAACAGTTTAAAGAAACACTTGCTGATTGAACTCTAAGATTGTCAACCTATTCTCCCATCAAGCACAGGTAACCTAATTCTGAACTAGAACGCCATCCAGCACAGGCAACCTAACTTTCAACTACAGATGACCACTATATTTTAATGGCTCAATTAGAACCTCATCCCCAATACAAATACATATATAAGTCCTGTTCTATTGAGAGATCCTCAAAGAACACAAATTTGGAGACACCTTTTGGGCCCACTCGTCATTGCATATGATCCGAAACCATCTATTTTTCATTTCTTCATTCATACATAATCCTAAAAAATATTAGACAAATCGTAAACCATAAAGACAACTAATTGTGGTAAAACAAATAGATGAATACGGGTTCCCAGAAGACAAAAAAGGCTGAAATGAATTCATTTGATTAGATAGTTTATGGTTTGAGCTTTGCACGAAGACCTAAAAACTTGACAGTTCGGATCATTACACTACAATACAGAGTGAGTCCTACAAAGGTGTCCCTTAAATAAGGTTATTTGAGGGATCTCTCAATTGAAGCTCCCTAGAAATATGGGGTCCTCCAAATTTAAGACTTGAAAATTCCAATGTCAAATCAACAAAAAATTAAACAGACAGCTAATTACTAAAATGCCACCCCGCTAGACTTTCAGAACAAAAAAGAAAAAGGAGGCTAGCTCTATGGCCACCATCACTAGCCACCATGGAGCAGCCATCCATAGGGTCTCCAATCCACGGGGAAGCAACTTTTTTTTTTTATAAACAAAAAGATGTAATTGCTAGCTCCATTACTTTTAAAAAACAGCACACCTTCATTTTTCTTCTTTATTTTATCTTTTTAATTTGAAAGTTTTTTATTTGTCGGCACGACCATGTAAACACATTATAAATAATAAATTTAAAGACTTTCAAGTTCTAAGGTATGCTTCAGTATATACAAGTTTTTTTCTTGGGTCAACAATATATACAAAGTTAGGAATTAAAGATTCCTAAAATACATTTTAAAAAACCATAATCCAGACACCAACATATTTACAAATGGACGCATTGCTGCAAATGAATCTTAACAAAAAAATCCCTAAAATTCTAATACTCTCCATTATTGTTAACATGCTCTACATGATCATGGACAGAAAGTCTAAATATAAGTAAGGAAATTGTTAAACAAAACTAAAAAAAAAAAAAAAAAAAAAAGATAAGGACAACTTACAGCTTGTGCAGCTTCATCTATTATAACTACATCAAAACCGCGATTGTATTTACTGAAAAGAGGTGAACCACTAAAGCTAAGGGTAGAGAAGACCTGCCAATCATACATCCATTAAAAATTAAATTTAATGTGTAAGCCTTCAGTTAAAACAAAATGCAAATGCAACATACAATAACTGCCTCCTCCAAAATTTCTGCTCGAAACCTATCAGCACCTCCATCTCTGTCTTTACTACCCCCCATGCTTCCTTTCTTTCGTTCTACCTGCAACAGATTCCTTTTGATCAACTTCAAGTAACACATTTAAAAAAACTTTCTGGTCATGTTCAAGTAACACAGATTTTACCACTAGGTGCATCATTTTTATAATCTGGCATCCATAGCAGATGAGAGATAGAGATTCATCATTATTACCATATAGTAGATATCTAATAACTATCAAAACAGTGATTTTCTACATGAAAAGTGAACATTCAGATGCAACAAACATAAAATCTGTTCTCTGACTTTTAAATACGACAGAAAAGGCTTTATTCAGACCTTCCAGTCTGAATATTTTCCTCAGACTGAATCTTCAAGCACCCTTCTCTTTTGCATGTGTACAGGTTAATTTTTGGCAGTGCTATTAGAAGAGCTACAAGGGCTTTCAGATAACAAAAATTGCTTATGGCACTTGATCTCATTCATATGGGTTGTGATTCTTTCAAGGTCATGTAGAGAATAATGTCAAACTAGCAAGTTGTACGGAATAGAAGTTATCAAATTCCCAATGCTATAATACAACACTAGCTTGCATTCAAATCCATAAATTAGTCCATGGAAAACACCAATTAGGAAGAATAGGGGGAAAAATATTGGAAAAGATAGCAGTGACAAGAATCGAGCAGTTTATTGGTCTTGACAGAGCAGTCATCGCCAATTGCGTTCCAAAGAAGCAAAGAGTCTCTTGAGATTTCAGCACTAGTTATAGAGAGAGGTCTCTTGTCGAGTAGATTCTAGAATTATCTTCTAACAAAATTCAGTGGATAAACATTGGCAAGGCCTGTTGATGATCTAACTAACATTTTATCAACTTTTGATTTTGTTTAATTTGTACACATTCTATGGCACATTTATGTGTACTCTCAGTTAAAGGGTGATAATAATTATAAAGTGAAATTCAATGTTGTGTCATTTATGCCAGATACACACCATCTCATCCATGGAGACTGCTTGGACTGAATGATGAGCCTTAAGACCAATCCGCACAATTTTGGGATTATATGAACGGTCACTTTCATCACGCACACCTGAGAATAACCAGAACAGATTTAGAAAGAAAATGAACTATTATATTTGGATGGAATCAATAGAACTATGTCCAATAGAAAAGATCATATACAAATGCGAGAAGAATCAAACACCAAGTACCTATAATCAGACATTCAAGTTCTCGAATTTGCAGGCCATGCTTCAAAAAATATCTGCTATGGTTTATGCGTCATGCCCTTAATATTTCCCATATTATTTTAACAGGTTGGGTCAGCCTCCATTTTGCACATTAGTGACGATAACTAAGATCTTAAACAGCCAAAAAAAATTTTATCTATAAATCTTTTTCTTATGACAATAAATCAATATGTTTACTATGTTTTGTTTGGTATATATAATATACAAAAATTCTCCTAAGCGGACGTCCGGAAGTTATTATCGTTCGGCCGCCATGTATTTTCTATTGCCCCTCCCTGCTTTCCTCACTGTTTACAACGGCATCCACATGATAATAACATGCAGACATCCGAATGAGAGAATAACTATATGTATGTATATATATCAGAGAGCTTCCATTGAGGGATCCCTCAAATAATTATTTGAGGGACACCTTTGTAGGGCCCAATCCGTATTGTATTTTACTAATCCAAACCGTCTATTTTGTAGATATTCAAAGATCATCTCTACAAAAAAATACTTGAATCCGATATCATTTGACCACTCAATTGAATTATTGAAATTTTAGTACTTTCTTGAATCACCATGTTCATTGATTTTGTAGGACAATTGGATATTGAAACAGTTTCCGATTTGTCTAATTTTTTGCAAGGATGATCTATGAATGTATACTTAAAAAATAGATGGTTTTGATCGTTGAAAAAATATTTGTAAGGGACCCTAAAGGGTGTCCCTCAAATAATATTATTTGAGGGATCCCTCAATAGAAGGGGACTGATTGAATCAGTTTGGATTTATGTACTTGGGCATGATAAGTTAACAAGTCCTGTTTAAGTTTAGAATATTTTCACATCCAAGCGTGCACACATGCACGCACACGCGCGTGCGTGCGCACACGCACACCCACACACTACTATTTCATTATACTTTGTCTGGACAGAATAAAAATTATGCAACTTGGAATATTCAATAGGATTTGCCCATTATTTACATAAGGATAATTTCTATGAGTGCGGCTTTTCCTACACAGTAATCAAGCTAAAAAGAGAATTTTTGATCAACATAGAACGTTGCAAAGAAACTGAAAATGTACCCAGCAGTGTACCAAAGATCAGGAGCATGAATAATTTAGTGGAAAGAGCCTGGGAAGTGTAAGAGAGAAGAGAATTTTACCACTGTTCAGAACACGCAAAACAATCTCATCCAGGGCAGAGTTTGAAGGAGCACACACAAGGACACGTACGCGGTATTTACGACTAGAATTGACTACTTCTGGTTTCTGCAAATTGCATATGGTTAGCACACAGGGCTATTGCAGATTACAATAATTTAATGCAAAGACTTGCACTTACTAACTCATTTCCAGTGGTGGGAAAAAACCCATCATCACCATTAACAGGCATTATTTCCTCTCTAGGATTGCTACCACTAAGCCATGGAGATGCTAATCGCCAATGATGGAATCTGAAAAAGTACAAAATATTACTATAACCCATGGAACATTACATATTAATATAAGGACTGTGCCTGCTATGATGTTGAATCAAAGTCCAAACACCTCAACATTTCTTCAGAACAGATTGCTAGCACCTATGATTTGGATGTACGATTGTTACATAGGATATTTAAATCTCAAATAATGAGGACTAGCCTTCCCATTTTCTATGCCTCAGCTTACTATTTCAAAGTCAGTGAAGGTAACACCTCTATACGCAGCATGTAAATTTGTTATTTGGAGGCAATGAACAATATTTCGAGATTATCCATTTCTTCTGAGTAATTCACAATTCTAAGGTTTGAGGCCTTATTTTCTTTAATAAGGAGCGATTCTTGTTCCTACCACAATGATTCTAGAAATCTAATTCATCTATATTTTCCTTTATCTTCGACCATTTCAGTAGTTTCAGTATCTGTCTTGACTGCTTTCACTTACACACATCCCTCTTAATCCTCCCCTTACTGTTCTACATCATTGTACTTTTCACTCAATCTCAATAAATTATTAATCTAACTTTTCTCACCAAAAAAGCAGCACGAAAAATATATATAAAGATAGCCATTCAAGATAATATATTATAAACGGACAATTCCAAATATCATCATCAAATATGCAAAGAAGAATTCAGTAAATACATACTTCTCCTGAACAGTTAACTTTTGCCGAAGCTTTATGGTTTGTGACCCACTGCTGCAAAAGAAGGAAGCTACATATAAGCTAAAGAAAATTGAGATTTAAAAAGTACAGATGGGTGATACCCAATTCTGCATGTCTCACAACCACAAAAAGAGTCTATTCCTAGGCATAATTTCTTTTCTCCAAGTTCCTAGGATTTTCTTACATGGTTGACAAGAATTATTACAAGCGTTGGAAAGAGGGATAGTTTTAACCTGGAGTGCACTCTTGCTGGTGTTGCATGCAAAATGGCACTAAGAAGCCCAAGGATAGTTTGTGTCTTCCCTGTCCCTGGAGGACCCTAAATGGAAGCTTGAAATCAGCATCCACATACTATAAGTACATGAGAACACAATCTTACACTTATTGAAAGAAAATGAAGTAGATAACTTATCCTCATAATAGCTCTATTCCTTATTCCTTTATATACAATTAAATAATAAACAAAAGCATCAAGGAAGCCATGAAATTATGTAGATAAGCAACAAGCAAGCTAATTTAAGAGAAAAAAAATGTTAAAAAAACAGACTAGCATGAATTAAAGAAACATTTTTGTCATCAACGTATATATCCAGCACAAGAAATTAACTTTAACTCAATAACAACATGCATAAAACCTTTAGAGGACAGGCTATACGCTACATCCACAGACACAATGAATACACAAAGGGGATACTTGGTCATACTACCCCATATTTCCTTCTTACAAACTGGCCACACTATTTTAGGACAGAACGGCAATCTGAATTTCATAATAGCCATAAACTTCAGACAATTAAATATGACTAACAGGACTATAACAGACAAATTCATACAATTTCTACAATTTCAGTCCTATGAACAGGAGGGAATTTAGACTTTGTTTGTTTAATTTTTCAGAATGATTTACTTTTATTGTTTGAACTGTAATTGGAGACTTTTTATTATTTTTGGACTTGCTACATAAATATGCCTTCCTTTTTTTTAAAACAAAAAATTGCCTTATTGTGGTTGGACATTAGTTTTGGCAGGTATATTGAGATTATAGGAATAAAATTGACCCTACTTTTCCCCCTCCCTTCCTCCCCATCCTTTTGCTTCACTCTTCTTCCACTTCTTCTACATCTTTTTCTTTACCTTTCAAAATTCTTCTACACTCTACATCAATGCACTTGCAGATCTAACTACAAGAAGGAACGCGTAGCGTCCACAATATGTTTTGCTAGTTTTTACCTCTATTTTCTGTTGCAGGATTTGACAAGAGTTGTCAACTAAATCTTTATTTTAATTGATGCCTTCTTTGACTCTTTTTCTTTCTTTATCCAGGAGACAACGCAAATAGACAGATATAGAAGTTATAATTGTACACCATGATCTAATCTATGGAAGCATTGGTTTATACATTCCATTTAGTGTCAACTCTAGCAATAAAAATTACGCTATATTTTATTGAGTACCGCCTAAAATTTCAACTCAATCATGCACTTAGGCCCTAGGCAATACACATGCTACAATGGTTGGGAAAGGGTCACGAGCCTGCAAGGAATGATCTAACTCCAAAAACCCATCCTCAGTTCAGATTGTAAGCTGCAATTTGCCTTTATGAAGCCCAAATTGCTAGCAATCTTCTGTCAGCCATACAGCAAATTAGTCCTCACACCTTGGCAAAGGAGAGAAAGACTGAATAAAGCAATCTCACTAATATAGCTATCACACTAACGTAGTATATAGTGCAAACTTCTCGAGTTGTTTTAGGATATTTGGGAATACTAGAACAAAATGCATAGGCGAACCATAAGTACTAATTTCGCCAACTAATGTATGTTACTCAAAAAGTCACATACTCAAGGAAACCGCACCATACAGTCAAGTTGCTATTCATAAGTTCCCTCAGGCTTTGCTCTTACTTTGCCATTAGCTTCAATTATAATCTTTATTAATTCCTTGGTTTGGGCAGAAGAGCAAGTTACTCGATCATTATCAAACTCACTGCATTATTCACTAAACTAGCAAACTGATACAAGGTTAGAGATATTGAATTGGAAAGCTGGAATCTTCATCAAGAAACAGTGAGATAGAAAGAAGTAACAAGCTTGTATTATTATATGCATCTAAAATAATTGTCAAAAAGACATAAAGAGAACCTGTATCAGGATAAATGGTTTACGCGATAGACCGGCCTGCAGCAAACATTAATACTCTTTCATTAATATAAGAAGCAAAATCCTTTTACAGAAATTCAACAGAGATAAAGCTCCAAACACAAACACACACACAGAGTTGAAACATCTCAAGGGTTTTTACAAGACTACTATACACAAGCAACATCTTTAACAAGGTCAAAATAACCAAATTCCATACACAATGCCCAAAACATGCCAGGATCATATCTGAGAAGTTAGCAACAAAGAAAACTGCAAAACAACGAATACATGGAAAACTTTAGTAGCAACTCACTTGTATGGCGTTTTGTTGTGATTCATTAAGATTGTCTTTTATAAATTCCTCCAGAGGCCTAGAAATTTTCCAGGCTTGGCCTTCTGAATCAATATTTTTCTCAGCAGCTCCAAGAATTATATCCTTAAAGGGCAGAGAGCCAATTGACCATAGAGCTACATATTCACGAGCAATAGTTGATAAACTGCAAATCTGAAATATATATTACATTCACCAAAACCATGTGAGGACTAAACGAGAGAAATTTATGTCTTTAAATAAAAGAGAACATCAATGCCTGAAACAAATACCCAGAACAAGAAAGCAGACAGTTTCAATAGTTCGAAATAAAGTCTGTCTGTTTACCACTATTCCCAGGAACTTAAGCGGCTCGGATATGGACCAACAATTATTTGATGCTGTAACACTACCCCTTACATTTCAGTTTCTCTCCACTAGAGCTTGACATGTAAAATTCAACTTATAATGGAAGATTGCAATTGCATAGATTCAGTTGCAGGATTTATTAACTCTTAATGATAGAGCTTGACCTAATTTAAAATTGTTCATCGACAAAATAGTGCAAGAATCGCAAATCCAATAACCAAAGAAATGAAGGCTTCTTTGTTTAATAAGGAAAGTGTGAATGTAGGAAAACTAAAAGGCATGAAATTTTCTGAACTTGTAAGATTCTTATTTAAATCCAACAGCTTAACAACTTACAAAAATAAGGATCTCCTAAAAGAACATTCAGGCACAGAATCACCTATATATATATATATATATTCAAGTGATTTTTCGCAGATATGATCTTTGAGGGAATAGCTAAAAATTAAAAGGTTCGGATCATTGAAAAACAATGTGTGGTGGGCCCTACAAGGGTGTCCCTCGATAGAAGCTCACTATATATATAGTGAGTTTCTATTGAGCTGTCATCCATATAATATATATATATATATATATCAATTTTAAAAACCATGTCATCCACATTACAAGAGCTGTACTCATATATTTTCCAATCTGTATAAGCAGAAAGAGATCTGTACAAAAAGAAAAAACATCATGCAGCAAAAGATAAGTACATAATTACTAAAAGCATTACCTTTCGAGTGACAAAAAACCTCTCTCCTTCAATACTAGAAGTAACCAATGACTTTACATTTAACAACCTTGGACAAGTTTCGACTGCATCTGTCTTCAAGTTTTGGCTTCTCCGGCCAAATACATTCTAATCCTAAAAGAACTCGCCTGACGACTTTCTACCAATGCAAAAGCATAGACTGTTGGGAGTTCTTCCTTGTCTTGATGCTGTAATAACAAATTCCACAAAAAGAGTAAGGAACCCTTTATATTGTCTTACATGAAGAGTCTTTTTCTAGTAAATGGAACCTACAGTGCAAAACTGAAACCTATCATTCCCACCATAAACCATGTCTTGTTATATAACCAAGCCCAACCACTCAATATTCCACCAACAATAAAGACAGTGTCCCAAGATTCATTTTCCAGAAATCAAATTTGAAAAACCGTACATAATCAAAATTATTCCAAATTTGTTACGCTAATAGATTACTGAGCCCATAAATATTTTCCTAGTAATGGAACAAAAGAGTATGGTACAGCTTTGGGAACGCTATGTGACAAAATGCAAGAGAGACAACAGACAATCAAACACAATCAGATGAAATTTGATTACATTTGGTTTCAAAAGAAGCAAAAGATCATTCTGTGATATTGCTTCCTTGTCATCCATGTCACTCTTCTCATAGGTAAGAGTTGCTAAGTGAAACCCATCAACTTCAGTGCACGCCACAACCAAATTTCTCTTGGGGTTTAGTACTGCAGTGTTCCATACAGAAACAAATTAAGAGTGAGAGTAAATTCACAAAAAATAGACCTAATCCCAGGATAAACGTTTAAGACTGTTGAAACTCAATACCAGCATAAATTGAGTGATAAACAGAATTCTCTCAGAAACCACACAGAAAAGGGAAAGACAAAAAGAAAATGAATACATTGATTCTCGTCTTTGCTCTGAATAATCTGAGCTTTGACTTCTTCAAAAAGAAGGGGTTCATAAGTAGAGATATAGTCATCCACATCTTTGTAGGTGTCTTTCACTTTTCCCATTCCTAAACCGTCATCTATCTCTCCCTTGTTCTTCTTCTTATTCTTCTTCTCATTCTTCTTCTCGTTCCCAAAAAAAATTCAAACGCATCAATTTAATATAAAAAAATCAATAATATATATATATATATGACAAAGAGAGAAAGAGAATTTACAGTTAACTCTGTGAGGAGGCCGTAATAGTCCCAACCGAGAACAATCTTGTGGAAACGAGCAATGGGAGCGGCTTCCTGAAGCTTGTCTTTGTCCACCGCCATTGACAGAGAGAGAGGTTATAGTAAAGGTGACGGCGAGAAAGGTGAGAGGCTGAGAGCAGACAGATCATAATTATTATCACAATATCAGTACATAAATTTTAAGTACTAATACGAAACTTAAAAAGAAAAAACAGAGCATAACAAAACAGAGTCATGAGCCAGCTGCCACAGAAAATAGACTGGTATTGCAGCAAAACTAGCAGAAACACCACATCACCCTACGAAACCCATCACTCTCTCCCTCTATCTCCCACTCACTCTCTCTTTCCCTTTCTCTACTCAACCTAAAAGCCGCAAGGAACACAAAGCCCCAATCTCATAGAACGACAGAGAAAAACCCTAATTTCAGAAAATTAGAGAACTTGGAAACCCGAAAATCAGAAATGCAATTAAACTACTTAACTTACTGATGAGTAGCCGATACGTATGCGGATACTATACGGGCTCGATACATGCCAATACGTATCGTATACGGAAATTGGAGTATGCGTTGACTTCTTGAATTGTTGACTCTCCTTTACGGCAGCGGTACACCGTTGATACGCGACGGGTACGGTTGGTGTTGCAGAGGCGGGTCTATGCCTCGCGAAGAAGATGTGTTTTGGTGCCTGGTACCTATAGTAATAAGACGATAGAACGCATCGTTTGGCCACTCTTCGTGAAACGCTGCGCTTTATGTTCAATATTTTGGAGGGACAGTATTATCGAGCTACTTTTTAAAAGAAAAATTTTTCTTACCGGGCTACAATCTTGTAAAACATTTTCTTATTGGACTGAATGCTCCGAATATTAGGACCATAGGTCTTAGGCGAGTTTGGAATTGCTGTCACTTTTAAAAATAAAAAAATTGTTTATGTTGTATTTTGAAAATAATTAGCTGTAAAGTAAAGCAGCTTTATTTTCTCACTCCCCTTTTGTCCTCTTACACTCCCTTTTATTTTTTAATAGTTTTTACTATAACAAAAAGGAAGTGTAAGTAGACAAAAGAGGAGTGGGAACATACAATTTCTAACAAAAGGAGTGTAAGTGGATAAAAGAGGAGTGGGAAAATCAGCTCTCTATTTTTAAAGTGTTGTTAGTACAAAAGGCAGTGTCAAATTAGTACAAAAAAGAGTGTCAAAACTGTTTGGTAAATTTTAATATAAAACAATTGTAACTGTAAATAATGACTAAAATAAACATAATGTTGAAAGTGTTATGCGTTAATCATGTGGTGGTAGTGGTGGTGATGGTTGAGGTGGTGGTGAAAGAGATGGAGGTGAAGGTGGTGATGGTGATAAAGGTAGAGGTGGTGGTTATGGTAGTGGTGGTGGTGGAGATGGTGGTTGTAAATGTGGAGGTGGAGGGATGGTGGTGGTGACGATGGCGGTGTGGTGGTAGTGGTGGTGGCGGTGATGGTAGAGATTGAGGAGGTGGTGGCGGTGGCGGTGGTGGCATAGTGGTGGTGGTGATAGTGGTGGTGGTGTCATTTTTAAAAAGTAATGATGGTATTTTGGGAATAAAAAAATTTCATTAAAGGATCATCTCTGCTTCTTTTGAAAGCAACTTTGAAAAGCAACCCAAAGCAAACCCATCCACACACACATTTCTCCTCTCATGCAAATACCCTTGGAAGAAACAAACCCATCCCACCTCTATATCAGCCTCCCTAGCCATTGTCCCTCCTCATCCTTTGACTAGCCACAACAACAACCACCCTCACCCCATCTCATAAACCCATCTACATCCTCCATGTATCAACCTTACCCATCCAGCCTCATCCGCCTACCTACCCACACAGCCCCACCTCGATCTCCCCAACCTGCGCACCTCTCCAACCCTCAAACCCAATAGCCCTAACCCACCTTAGAGCACCTCTTTGATTGGGGGCGTTGTGAAGAAATTGATGGTGGGAAATTGGTTTGAGATGAGGGAAATAGGAGGAGGAAATGGAAATGGGTTTTAGGCCTCATATGCGGTGTTAGACACATGAGGGTTAGATGTTATGGTTACATGTTGCATGTGGTCATATGTGGTTTTGAGAAATTTTTCAAGTTCTAGGTGTGTGTTGTAGGTTGGGTGATTGGGTGGGGGTTTGGATTGGATTTGTTGTAGGTGGTTATGGTCGGGCATATGCCGTAGATGGGACTAGTCGACGATTGTTTGGTGTTTTTGTTTTTGAGAAGATGGTTGAAGGATGGGGCACGTCTAGAGGGAGGGAGAGAGGAAGAGAATGAGAGAGTAGGGATTTTTTCTCTCTATATTTTAAAAATTTTTATTTTTAATTTTTAAAAGAATTGTTTAATATAGTTTTTTTATGTTTTTATTTTAATTATTACAACTAGCCCATTGGCACATGCTCACGCATGTGCCAATTGGTTTTCTTTTTTCTTTTTTTATTATTTATTTTATTTTTAGAATTAAGAAAAGATAACATGGGTAGTTAGGCCATCTCCAACCCTTGTACTCAAACCAAAAATATGCCCCCAAACCTCTCCCAACCCAAGAAAATGAAGGATCCAAAATTTGGGAAAACCCAAATTTGTACCCAAATATGGGTCCAAGTATTGCTCAGACCCAAATTTTTTCGTGGAGCCCACTTTCATGTCAAACAGCCCCCATGTGCAAAGATTCCTCTGTGGGCCCTACCTTTTTTTTTGCTGCTGCCATCTTGTCTTCCACAAGCACCACTTGTCAAAGCCCCATTGAGTTGCTTTTGGATTTGAAATTATTTGTTGTTTGTTTGTTTTTTTTATTTTTTATATATACATATAACTTAAATCAACAATGGAGATTAAATCTAAGCTATTTTAACAGTAAAAAAAAAGATCAAACGGCTGAAATTTAAATCTAACAGTCAAAATAATATTTTAAATTAATCAAGATTAGATCCAACCCCAAAACTCTATTAATACCCATCCATTTCTCAAATAATCTACCAAAAATATTTTATCTATTTCTCAATTTATTTTTCCTTCGTCAATCTCATCAATCTCCTTTCGTTATTGTTGAAGATGTCCACAAAATCTCGTTTCATTCTTCTTTTAGAATTATGTTGTGTGTTTTCTTTCGGAACAAAATTATATTTGTGGAATTTTAATTTTTTTAGGTCAAATTGTTCAAAAAAATAAATAATTATGAAGTTAATTTAAAAAAGATGGATGAAGAAAAAGAAAAGAAAGTCAGCACCATACATAAAAAAAAAAAAAAAAAAAAAAAAAAAAAAAAAAAAAAAAAAAAAAATTAGACTTAAACAATCTTAATATAATTTGTAGACCTAAAATTTGAGTCCGTAGAGTTAGGAGAAAAAACAATTTAAATCCAAGCAAAACCCAAATAATCACTTTTTGGAGGGGGGAAATTTGGGTTTAGCCCCTCATGGGTTGGAGAATGCCTTATGTTCCTTAAAAGTATGACCTATTATTTGATTTTATTTTTAATTTTAATTTTTTTAATATAAGAAAATGTGAATTTACCATATTATCCTCATTTAATTAATAATTTCAATTCTTAATGATTGAATTAACCAATGACATTTATTGGTATTTTGAATATTTCACCATTCTCTACCTTTTGCTTTATATATATAGATATTTAATTATGTGGAGGTGGGCTCCACTACTATGTCACCAATTTAATTAGTGGATAATAATTCATGTGTACAAAATTACAAAAATAACTCTATCACATCATCAAAGTTAACAAACTTGGACGAAATTAACGGCAAGGGACAGAGTGGGTCACCACACAATCAAGTGAGGTAAGTGGGCCACTTTAAGTATGATGGGACAATGGTGTAACTTTAAAATAATCAAGATATTTTACTTTTATCAAAAACTGGTAAAAAACGCTCTGCTTGATTTGGTCTGGTATTTTATTTTTATTTTTTGAAATTCGGGGATAACCAACCAAACCGGTTTCTCTGAACAATGGTGTAAAAATGTTAGTAATCGAGAATGGTGTAAAAATGTTAATAATTGAGAAAAGTTGAAGGTGAAGGATTTTCGAACACCCTCTACCTCCCAATTGCCAATGTACCAAGCAACACGGTTGCGACAGCTTTGTATAACCATTGTATTTAACGGGGTACAGTTCAACTCTCGTAATAAGACGGCGAACTGTAACCAACCTAACAGCTCCACTCTCCATTGTGCGAGAAATATGAAAATGACAATTCTATCCTCCTGTTAAAAGTTGAACGGACAATCAAGTGAGGGCTATGATCGTCATTGCAGAAGATGGCAAATTCGTAATATAAAAATCTACCAGCAGGTACCACCAAGTTGTTACAACAAGAAATCAAAAGCCCGCCAAAACCATTTCGTCTTCCATCATTCTCTGTTTCTTGAATAACAGCAGCTCTCAGTTTCTTGATTTTGCTTCAATGGCGATCAAATTCCGTACACTCTCACTCACCGTCCTCCTCCTTGTGCTCATCTCCTTGATCATGCTCCCCGACGAAGTTGTTTCCCTCACACCCCGAGAGTACGATTCGATGCAGCGAGTGCTCCGAGGCCACGGCTACAACCTGATGTGCAACGCCATGGCGACGTCAGATCTCCAGTGGATGCTCCTCACGTTCCCGGCGAACGCGTCCTTCACGATCTTCGCTCCCACCGACGCCTCCCTCTTCGCGCTCGACATGATCCAAACCGCGTCGTCCTACACCGACACCCTCCGCTTCCACGTCGTCCCTCTCCGCCTCTCGCTCTCCAACCTCCGCTCGCTCGCCGCTGGCTCCTTCCTCCCCACGCTCCTCCCCTCCAGCGCTCTCCGCCTTGTCTCCCCCCGCCCCCTCTCCGTCTCCGGAGTCGACGTCGTTTTGCCAGGCCTCTTCTACTCCCGCCACCTGGCGGTTCACGGCCTCGGAGGCATTCTCAGCCTCGCCTCTCTCGTTCCCTACGGTTCCTCCCACTCGCCGGTTCCAAAGGTCGAGCCCATGTCCACGTCTGACTTCAACGGTACGGATCTCTCTCCGGTGATCGCACCTTCTTCGGTGAATACTGGATCTCCGTCTATAT